GGGGTCACGAAGAGTTGGACACGACTAAACAACTAAACGACAACAACAAATGGTGTGTTGTAACTACTGGACAGTTGCTTAGAACTCTTTTTGGGGAAAGGTATTAGAGAGGGTGTGGCAGAGCAACTTTGAGTGCTCCTGGATTACAGTGCTTAGAAGGCTCCATTTCGATCTGGGTTCAGTCCTGGTTTTGGGACTGATGGATGAACTGTATTGAGGGGGGGGAGATTATGATCCTATTCCTCTGATTCAGTCTTCTCAGCAGCTTCTGGCACCGTTGACCATAGTGTCCTCCTAGATCAGGCATAGGCAAACTCGGCCTGCCAGATGTTTTGGGACTACAACTCCCATGATCCCTAGCTAGCAGGACCAGTGGTCAGGGATGATGGGAATTGTAGTCCCAAAACATCAGGAGGGCTGAGTTTGCCTATGCCTGTCCTAGCCTGACTGTGTGATGGGTACTGAAGGCACTTTACTGCAATGGCTCCATTCATATTTGCCCAGTTGCCCTGAGAGTAACATTATGGGAGTGTTCTTTGATCTCCCTGCCATCTGTGCTACAGGGTTCTGCAGGGCACTAGTCTGTCCCCAACACTTTTTAACATCTCTGTTAAGCCACCAAGAGAAGTCACTAGGAGTTTTGGAGCATAGTGCCATCATTATGCCAATGAAGATACAGCTCTATTTCTCAATAGTATTTGAATCCGAAGAGACTGTGCCAACCCTGAACAGCCTTAATGCTGTAGTGCAGAGGTTTTCAACCTTTTTGAGTCCACAGCTCCTTTGACCAACTACATTCTTTCTGTGGCAGCCCTGCAGGGCTCAGTTGGCCAATTATTGTCACCCCTTGCTTGCAGACCTGGCAGCCTCTCACCCTTTTTTGAACACCCTCCATTGTGGAGTGTTCCCTCAGCCTCCTCTCCCCTCTACTTGAGAGCCCTCTGAGCAGCCGCTGCTGCCGCCCCTGGTCTCTGGGCTGCCCACCCACCACACCTCCCAGAGACACCATTTGCTTGCGAAGCTTATACCCAGGACTGCTGCAGCAAAGAGCTGTGCAAGCTTTTGGGAAGCAGAGATGCAAGAGGAGGGAGGGAATGAAAGAGGGACAGAGGCCAGTGTTCTGACCATCATTCAAGGTACCCCAGGGTGCCACGGCACACTGGTTGAAAACCACTGCTGTAGTGGACTGGACCGCGGCATCCATCTGTCTCAAGAGGCAATGGAAGTGTGCCATCAGGGGGAAGGTCAAACCATTTGAGAGTTACAGTGCCTCTGTGGCTGTGGAGTCTGATACAGGAGAGACATGTTTTACTGCAGCTGGGGCAGATGAAAGTATCTGGTTTCGCTGTTACACAACACTATAGCGGGTCTTTTCTCTGCGTTCCTCCCATTGGTCAATTCTCCTGGACTACATGAGGACCCGTGAGCAATATGGAGTCCTTGGAAGGATGACTCTCTCTGTCTACTTTAGCTATCAGCTTGCAACATGGAAAGGAGGGATTAATCCATGAGAATCTCAAAAAAGGTATCAAAATATATTGAACTCTCCGAGTAAAGGAAAATGTGTAACAGAAGAGCAAGTGGGGGATTCGTGTTAGATGCCCTCTCCCACATGCCAGCTTGAATGAAGGCTAGATTTGGGTAGCAGTCTACGTCCGCTGGGAGAAATGTCATTTCAGAATAACATGGTGAAGAATCAACATTCACTCACACACTTTCTTTCTTTTTTTTTAAAAAAAAGATGGCAACAGCAGTACTCTTGGGCACTTATCAATATCTCCAATTAGGATAGAAATTAAGAGGCTCTCAGTTCCAATTAGATTTGTCCACTAATCAAATCACTGGTCCTTTATGGCTAACGTCAGGCAAGCTGAATGAGAGGGGAATCCCTTCCAATGTTATTCACAAATTATTTGTACGCAGCCCTAAGTTTCATTTCAACATTTGGCAAAAACAAAAGCACAAAAAAACTCTTCACTAGTATCTTGTGGGAATGAAAATAAATCCCACTTCTCAAGGGGGGTGGGAAAGAAAGAAAGAAAGAAAGAAAGAAAGAAAGAAAGAAAGAAAGAAAGAAAGAAAAGATCTTGGCTTCTTAAGTGCAAGACGCTGAAAACAAAAGTTTGATGTCAAGAGTAAAAGACTGCAGGTGTGGGAATTTCTAGTAATGTGACATATACTGTATATGGCAACTCCAATCTCGAAATGTATATTTTTAGCTATATCTAAAGATGACTGGTGCAACTCCTTAAAAGCCCTAAAAGGCAAGATGGTAAAGAACAGGACTCATTTGACATAGAGTGGAGGAGTGTGAGGTCTGTTGTTATATATTAGCCAATTTTCTGTAGGTTGAGTTCTTCCATATATGGTCAAACATGAAAAACCAAAGAGAGGGATAATTACTTTTTTAAAAGGAACTACAATTCATGTGCTGCTACCCTAACAGTGTCCTTTGGTGCACACAAGGAATTGTGCAGATGATCTGGGGGAAGGACTTCCTGGGTTCTCAAAGGTCCACCAGCAGCAGCCGCCCCACAAGTTACATTAGACACCTGATTCTGAAATTCTCTATGTCCCCCTCCAGTTGACAACGACAGCTCATCTGGTAGGATGGCAGAGCTGCTGTTGGCTTAGAAAGTCTTGTGTGCAAACAAAGACTGGTTACACATTCAGGGACTGGGACTTTTAAGAAAAAAACTCATCGAGCAATGCTACTGAAGAGGAACATTTTGTTCTAAGGAAACAAAGCTCTTTGCCAAAGCAAACTAGAAACAACACAAAGGAAATCAAAAGCTTGTACCAGGATCAAATTGTGTAAGTTACATACATTTGTATTACCCGAATATAAGCCGCACCCGCAAATAAGCTACACCTTTAAAGTTCAAGAGGGGAAAAAGAAAATACTCGAGTATAAGCCGGTCCCTTAAAATTGGGTTACAGGCTGAAAATCGCTGTGGTTGGTAGAATTGTAACTCCAAGCCAATTTAAGCCTTTGATCTTGCAAGCCTGCAAAAGTTGCTGTACAATCGCTAAAATTGCAAATTGCTATTCAATTGCAAATTGCTATTCAATTCATACAATTCCGCAGGCACTCACAACCATAAATGGCAAATGTAGAAAAAAATCCTATGGGTTAATTGCACAACAGTCTCAAGCTTGCAAATCGGCAATAAAACTTTTTTTGTTCCGTTTTACCGTATGTCTGTTTCAGCAGCGATATTGTAAAAGCCAATTTTTGTAAGGTGGCAAATTTAAGCCGCACTTTAACTGTTCATGGTCAGAATTTGGAAAATAATGTGGCTTATATTCAGGCCAATACGGTATTTGTTTTGCTTGGAATAAATGGCTGTCCACACAATTTCAGATTTTCATGGATTTGCATGGGGAGAGGGGATGGGAATGCCTGATGGAAACAGAAAAGCAAAAGGAGCTCATCCCCTCTGTGTATCTCACTGTCTGAAGTATGTATGCTGTGAACTCCTGAAGATTAAAGACCATTAAAAAAACACAAAACTCTGAAATTTCCAAAACCTCAGACTCTTCAGTATGTCAAAACACAATGTACATTGCCATACTTAGAAAGTCTAAGGTTCACAAGACAGTTTTTACTAATGTCTAAATGTTGGAAGATTTAGAATTTGATAGAGCAAGAAAGCCAAAGTTATATTCATTCCACATTTGCAATGAGATTGCCCTAAATATTAAAAACTAAAGCTGTGCTCAACCTTCTGCTGTTTAGATATTGGAACTAGCAGTTTCAGTAGGAATGTTCCTTTAACACACTTTGATTGCTCAAATAAAATCAACTTTTTATTCCCGTTCAGCATTGCTGCTGCTCAAATATGATGCCTAAATACTTGATGCTGCTATGGTCTATGGATTCATCTAATAAATGTCATTCCATATGCAAGATGCAGATAACATTCTGTCTTACACAAAATTGTTATCACCGAAGCAGAAATAAAGTGGTAACAATTTTGTGTAAGACAGAATGTATAGGGACACGGGTGGCACTGTGGTTTAAACCACTGAGCCTAGGGCTTGCTGATCGAATCCCCGCGACGGGGTGAGCTCCCATTGCTTGGTCCCAGCTCCTGCCAACCTAGCAGTTCGAAAGCACATCAAAGTGCAAGTAGATAAATAGGTACCACTCCAGCAGGAATGTAAATGGCATTTCTGTGCGCTGCTTTGGTTTTGCCAGAAGCGGCTTAGTCATGCTGGCCCCATGACCTTGAAAAACTGTCTGCAGACAAACGTTGGCTCCCTTGGCCAGTAAAGCGAGATGAGCGCCGCAACCCCAGAGTGGTTCACGACTGGACTTAACTGTCAGGGGTCCTTACTTAAGCAAAAAATGATTTCACATTCTTTCAGTTCACACTGCTTGTGGATTTCCATCTTCCTTCCAATGAGTTTGTTTTGACTTTCCCATGTGACTCAAGGAGGACTCAACCACGGATGTCAGTTCAGCTTATCCATTGCAACGTGACTTAATTGTCCATGGATCCCACGCTGAAAATCTGTTTTATATGAAAAGCAAGCTACTAGGCCTGTTGTGAGATGAAAATGAGAATTCTGGGGGGAAATATTCGTGCATGTCTGCCATAAGATTTATACCTGCCATTTAAAATTGTTTTCTGGCTAGAACCCATGAGTTTTGCGGAACTCTGCAACTGCATTCCAGTAAGCTACTTACCGAACTTGTGAATGACATTATCATGCATTTTCTGCTTATCAGGCCAGGCAGGAGTAACCTTTGCCCTCCAGATGTTGCTGAGGGCTGATGGGAGTTGTCATTAATCAACATCTGGAAGGCCAAAGTTTTCCGACTCCTGAGTTAGGCCGTGCTCAGTTTTAGAACTCCCAAAAGCACCACCAGCTTACAATTATGTTTCAGAAGCAGGGTATTAGGCTTTGTGGGTAGTTCACCTATATTACTGAATAAGATCACAGCAATTATTAGTAATATTTGTTATTAAAAAGTACATCAGTCTGCAGCATTGTACAGTAAATAGAAGTTTTATTCTCTCCCAGCTCTGCAAGATTAGCACTGCCAACAGTCAGAGATCAGCTTATGATACAAGGAAGTAGTAACTATTTACAATTTACAGGAGTGTAAATTTATTCCCCACAAAATATAAGTACAAAAGCTAGGAATAAACAAATGAGGTACTGCAATTTGGATTCATTATAAAGCAAGTGCTTGAAAGAAATTGCCTTTAGCAAACAATCAACAGATCAAATTGTGAGGGAGGAAAAAAAGTTGAAACAGGTTTAATTTACCAAGAACATCACCAAGGCCTCCTACCCACCCAAAGTATATTGCACAATTATTTCAGGCGATAAAACTGTTAAAAATAAATAGGGCAGTCAAACCATTAATTCGTCAGAGAGATCCTGTGAGATCTGTATTGCAGTGAGGCAAAACATTTATTAAAAAATATTCTAAACCAAAATAGAAAACTGTGTTCAATATAAGCACTCCATCACCGGGTAAGACAATCTTTCAAGACAACTGTTTGATTACATTCATGCCCAGCCCTCAACCGATTATTGTTCTTAATTTTGCTCATTTCACGTGGGGCAATGAATAGTAGTTCTTCTCCTGTCCATTCTTCATAGTGCTAGTATGGAGATATGATCAGATTTCAGAGGAGCGTCATCTGCTACAAAGTGCATGTGTTGCAAGTTCTTCAAGAGGACGATCGCAGCCAGGACTGGAAGGGAGGGGTGATATGAAAAAATTTAAAAGCGCAAGTAAAAGCAAAGCAACAAACTAGTTTACAATACAGAAAGACATAATAGGTTTAAGAGGCAAGTTAAAAACCAACTATCCTACAGTTTTAAAAAGTAGTTTACTGGTGTGTGTTGCTTAATACAGTTCAATATTACACATTTGGCCCACCAGCCAGATCCAGTCCACTCCCCCCCCCCCTTAGTAAGTGGATGGAAATGACAAAATGGCATGACAGAAAGACTGCAAGGGTCTTGGCTAGGCAGCAGGCACAATGTACTATGGGACATGGAGCAATATATCCATAACAGTGGATGCAGGGAAGACACACACTCTATCTATCTATCTATCTATCTATCTATCTATCTATCTATCTATCTATCTATCCTGTTGTTGTAGATGTTGTTACTACTACTACTATATGCATATGTATCCCTTATAAGTTCAGTTTTATTTCAGCTAAAATATGGAGTTGAGATATCATCGAAACAGCTTTTCCTTTGGCTCATTGACCTCACAGGTGATTTTAATGTTTTGTTGTTTTCGTCTACCCTGAAATGGCCAACGTAGCTGATCACATTTCATTCACAAGAGCTTCATATTCTCTTGAGTAATTTCCATGCATGCTACCCAGTATAAATATATTGAAGCATATATATGGTCAAAATAATTTGTTCTCTGCAAGTTCCTTGGCTTCTGTATTCTGTAATCTAAGTTAAATAAATTTGTATTTCCAAAACGAACTTCTGCATAATCACGTTTTGTACGCTTGACTTTAAATCATTTTTTAAATTCTGAAGAACCTAGATTTATGTGGGAATTCAGTAGTTGGGGGACTATGCAAAGTAGAACATGTAAAAATACAGAGGATAAACTTCCCACTTCTACAGCACTGGGACTTTCTGCAGACAGCTTGCTTCACATTTTCAGATTTCCTTCCAAAGCAATTCATAACTTGATTTTTTAGCTTCTTATGAATTCAGTCCTATGCCAGATTTCAAAACAGATGTAGAATTCACAGGCAGCTAGAAAAAAAGGGGATGACTAGCCCTTCCTGACAGTTGTGAACGACTAGTACAATCAATTTTGAATAATAAACCTATTACTGAATTTTTCTGGCTTGGAACTTAAGTTTTCCATTCCTTATTACATTTTGAGCATTGAAGTGAAAACTGACATTAATATATTAGGCAAATAAAGGTCAAAATAAACATGACACTGGGAAACGTGCAACAGGGTACTGCTGTTGCTATTAAAATAAAATAAAAAATGCCAGGAGATCCAATCCAATATACTACATCTAGTTTGGTCTGCAGTATATCAGCAATTAGTACACAAGGTAAAGTGAGCCAAAATCAGTGCAACTTGTATGATAATCTTATGTTGTTCTAATCTTATGCATCAGATGTGTGAAGCTGCGAACATGTTCTTCAAAATAATCTCAAATTGGTCCAAGATCAGAAAAAAATGTTGTGGGATTAAGAAGTCCTCTTTACAAGTGCTTGCCTTGCAAAATAAATATGGTAAGAACAAGTGTTCGGCATGCTTGTTAGTGGGAGGGACTAGTTATTACTGGGTGGTAGCCAAAGCTTATCATACTAGCGAATGTACTTAAGTCTACAGATTTTAGTGGGTTTACTCTGTACAACTAACAGTGGATATCACTCACTATTATTAACAAGCATTGTATGTACTAGGCAAAACCAAATATTGTATGTACCAGGCAACACTCACCCACATGCTAACTAAAAGCACTGATTGATGGCTTATTCAGAAGATGCCACTGCGAGGTGAGGTGAACTACAAAGCCAGGAAAAGAACAGCTTAGTGGGTTACTGTGTTAATAAAAGCAATGTGAGTTTAGACATGTTAGACATCTATTTCCACACTGTCAAACTTGTGGACATAGCAAGTGAGATGCCAGTGATTAGCCTTGCCATTTCTCTGCTCTGTACAGAGTTTAACATACAGGTGAAGTGTAAAAGCAGCAATGGTAGCCAGCACTGGCACTGCTCTCCAGGGTAAACTAGAGCCAAGCGTTGCCCGCTTCATGCAATGCACATGCACAATCCATGAACCTGCAGAAGTTTGCTTTTAAGCCTAGGATTGTTGTTTCTTGCTACTTTTTCCTTCAGGTGGCTCAGGCAAAGGTCAACTAATTTCTACTAAAGCTGCTAGCATCAAAATAGGACTCCAGGGTAGGAACACATGTGACTTTATTTTGATAGACACAACATGAAATATTGGGCCTGGTACAGTGGTACCTCTGGTTATGAACTTAATTCGATCCGGAGGTCCGTTCTTAAGCTGAAACCGTTCTTATCCTGAGGCACGTTTTCGCTAATGGGGCTTCCTGCTGGGTGCACGATTTCCGTTCGCATCCTGGGGCAAAGTTTGCAACCAGGAGCAGCTACCTCCAGGTTAGAAGTAACCAGAAGCGTTCATAACCAGAGGTACCACTGTATTCTATTTCCCCCATCTTGTCTAACAACTGCATGCAAAATTATAGAGCCAACAGAAAAGCACAAGTATTAGTATGTATTAAAGCAGGATATGAAAGTGGCCAAACAGGAAAACCAACTGATGACAATGTTTCAATTTTCAAACAGAATCCCACAAAATATAGTGTGCCACCGCTCAAATAGTTTCCCCATAAAACTGAATTGTACAGAATTTTAAGTCCTTTTTGTTTCCTCTACTTTGTACCTTTGTCATAGTCTTCAACTGGTACTCAGACACAGTTTTAGAACAAACCAATGGTAGCCACAAAAGGTAAATAATTTTGAATGGGATGCTGGCAGACTATTAAGTTTATTTCATATTTATTTCCCATCACATATAACTGCCGCTTAAATTGTGAGCTGAAAATGTAGAAAAAGGGAGAAACCCCATTTAAGCTGTTTTGCTCTGGGATCAATGTATTTTGTGAGCGAAAACAGATAGCAGCATCCTTTGAGGAAACAAAAAGAAGAAACAAAGAGACAGAATTGACAATCATTCATGTGTCCAAGATCCATGAAAGTATATTGGTTTTATATGGCAAATTTTCCCTTCAGCAATTCCTACATTGAACCCTAGTGTTTAATAATAAAACAGAATGATAAACCTAATGCCTGGATAGTCCTATGATTGTGGGCATTTATCATCTTCATAAGCTGAGATCAATATTATAGGATTTATTAAATTACTTTAATTGAAAAGCATCTGCTTTTCAACATCACAGTTCCCAAGGTGGCGTGTTAAGTAGGCTTTTGCACAGATGAGTAAAACTGTTGCGGACTTCTTCCATATTAACAGTGACATTTTATAGGTTTCCCTGACTTGTAGTTGTAGTCCAACTGGAAGACAGATATATCAAGCAAAGTGCTGGTGTAGACATAACAGGAGATTTTTTTGTCATCACAATCAGCAAAGATGCACTCAGGGTCTTCCAACATTAAGGTGTTTATTGCTATCACTAAGAGTTTTCCTGCCCTGTGCGAAATCCTTACTTCCATATACAAAATCCTTCTGCGGGAAAGTTAGGTGACCAAAGAACTTTAATGTTAAGACACACCTGAGAAGCCACTTTTATTTAGTATCTTACTATGGCTTACCAATGCCCGTGCATCTTCTCGTTCCAAGATCTTCTGTGCTTGGTCAGCAGGGAATTTCAGCACTGTGGTTATAACCTTTGCCATTGTCTGAAGAAGAGGTGAACAAACTAATGGGCATGATAAGAATATGATCCGCTAAACAGCAGTTTCATTGATTTATAAAAGCACTGTATTTTTTGTAGTCCTTATGAAAGCATAGGAATGCATAACGAATACTTGTGTCTTTCATAAAAAATCTGTGGCAACCTAAGGCGAAGACTTTAAAATAAATGCACTACATTAAAAGCTAAGAGTCTGCAATCCAACATCACCAGCGACTTAAAATTCCCCAAGTGCTTTTGGCCAGAATACATGATACAGAAATGGATTCCAAACGATCAGATTTTAAAATAAGGCTAAGTACAAGTTCAAAACAACAATAAATTCAGTATTCCATCACTTAAGGCTTCAGTGTTTTTGAAATAGTTGGTTGCAGATAAAGGCCAGATAAAGCCTATATTTACTCATATGCTATCCACTGAAAACAAAGTTCAACTTAAAAGGAAGGCTCTTAACATTCTTTCCCACTGCTATTTCTTGGAAGGAGAAAAAAAATAATGTAGTATAGATGGCCTCAAAGCAAGAAATATATAGTAAACAGTTTCATGAGTAAGAATGTGCTGGTGACTCTGCTATATGGTATTGTTTGCTGAAGGTCCTGTTTGTAAGTGAAAAACAGCAGAATCAAAGGAAATTATTAATTTTTTAATAAAAAAATCTAAGAAGATGGTGACTGAACTATGTTGCAGCGTGATTTGTTATCTGAAATTTTAACTCCAGCAGGGCAGTGCTGTGCACATGGCTTCCCAATGGAGAGCATTGCTGCTTCCTTGCTGAGAGGGAGACGACTGCAGTGTGGAGAGCTCAGTGCAGTGCAAGCACAGCAGCAGGACCATCAGATTGGCTCTGTTGCTGCACTGCTCACAGTCCTCACCCGCTTGGTAAGTGGCTTGCTGTTAGCAACCCAGGTGCACAATGCCCCCCTGCCTGTGCTGCCCCACTGACTGCCCCACTCTCCACACTATGTTAATGAATTTACTGCTGCTCATTATTTCTCCCAGCCCATGCAAACTGATTGTGACCGAAGCTTGGGAACTTGCTGAAAGATGTAGCTGAAGGTTTAAACCTGAATCAGATTCAGGGATAGTTAAGAGACAAAACTGCAGGGAAGGTGGTCTGGAATCTCACTTGGAAGGGGATGGGGGACAGGAAGGAGCTATGGTTCCATGGGGGAAATGGAAATGAAGTTTGCGGGGAAACAGGGTTACATGAGTCCTACATCACAGGAGGAAGAGGGCTGGCATATGAGTATTTGGAAGCTTGAGGACAATGGCTCCATCACATTTGCAAAGAGGAGCCTATGAAACCTAAGGAAGGAGTGGACAGACTTGGGGCCTACTTTTGTTTTATGTTATGCTAGCGAGAACCTTGAGATCAACCAAGCAGAGGCAGGTGCAAAATAGCGGCTCAGCCAGTCGGACACACACATATTATATATACATATACATGTGCCTCTGAGTGCATGTTCAGCTCATAAATTTACCAATGCCAAAAGCAAGTAGCAAGTTCTTTCACATAAAAATCTGTTTCTGTTCCTCACTCCTGTCTAGTATTCTTTTTCAGCAAGCTAATTTGGGGAGGGGGGATTTTTAACTGTTGCTATTGTTACGAGAATCGGGAGTTGGAAACTCTTGCCAATCTACTGCAAGCTGCCCACCCTGGCCTATGGAGTGTAATATCCACCGAGAGTGGTCCTGTTTGAAAGTATTATTTAGTTAGGAGATTTATAACCTACCCATCATCAATTCTGAAACCAGGATGTAAAGGTAAAGGGGCCCCTGACCATTAGGTCCAGTCGCGGACGACTCTGGGGTTGCAGTGCTCATTTCGCTTTATTGGCCGAGGGAGCCGGCGTACAGCTTCCAGGTCGTGTGGCCAGCATGACTAAGCCGCTTCTGGTGAACCAGATCAGCGCATGGAAACGCCGTTTACCTTCCCGCTGGAGCGGTACCTATTTATCTACTTGCACTTTGACGTGCTTTCGAACTGCTAGGTTGGCAGGAGCAGGGACCGAGCAACAGGAGCTCACCCCGTTGCAGGGATTCGAACCGCCAACCTTCTGATCGGCAAGTCCTAGGTTCTGTGGTTTAACCCACAGCACCACCCGCGTCCCTTGAAACCAGGATGGGGTACAACTAAAAAACTTTAATAACCAATTCCACACTTTAATGATGAAACACTAAAACAAATCCATAAAAAAAACCTCTTCATAAATAGGAGATACCCTGGGTCACACCATCTTGCTTCTATCCAAGGTAGATGTGAGCAAGAACGGGCTCATCCCGTGAGAGGATAATAATACTACAACCTGTGCAGTTCTTCTTTTTCCTTGAAGTGACTGTTAACTTAATAAACATGTGCCTTGAATATGGGGGATACCTTTGTCTCACGGCCCATCATGTACTCAAACAACACCTTCCTCAAGTATTCAAACTCCGTCGGTTCTCCAAAAAGAGAGACATCTGAATGGCAGAGGTTCCCATCTGCACAGACAAGAGACAGTGTTTTATACAACTGTATTTTACACAGATGTGCTACAATCAGTCTGCTCATCTCTCTTGACCAAACTGTAACATACAGACATAATGATTGTCACTTACCCGGATTATACTGCTTTTGTAAAGAGCATTTTACATTTTAACAAGAGGATTAAGCGGCTAGTTCTTAACTCTTGCCTCTGTACTCAAGACACTAACTTACTCTCTCCCTCAAATATGTCGCCAGGCAGAAGCAGACGACTACTGTTCAAGCCCCTTCCTGGTAGCATGCTTGTGCCTCAGTGGGAAAGATGGCTCTTCCAGTCCCTGAACTGTTTCTGTCCCAGCTGGTCAGTAAGAATTACTATTTAGCTTAAAGAATCAACATCTGAATTCAATCCCCACCCTCTCCATCCCATTTTTCTTTTGTGTCATGTCTTTTAGATTGTAAGCCTGAGGCAAAGGACTGTCTTGTTTGAACTGATTTATGTAAGCCCCTCTTGGGAGATTTTCAGCTGAAGAGCAGAATACAAATGCTCTAAACAAACAAACCCTTCACAAGTAGGATCGGTTGAGTACACAAACCTCCTAACCCTAAGCGCTATCCCTTCCAGAGATTCATGATTGCCTTTTCCTCTCCTATGGCCAATAGCTCCTGCCTGATGTTGGAAGTAACTGCCAAAACAATGGAAAGTATAAATCCTTTAAGGTAGCACTAGGGAACCTTAGACCTAGCACAGTACCCAAGTTGTCCTGCAAGGCCATAGCCCACAACGCCCCTCCTCACCTGCCCAACATCATATGTAACATCAGGTGTCAGGCAAACACAGACATGGCTACAAAGGAAGAATAAGGAGTTCAAAGGTTGCTTCTCATTGTCCCTTGGTAAGTAGGGCTGATTGGAACAGACAGGGAGAGCCACTGAGATCAGCTACAATAGGGAGTTCCCAAAAGGAGCTCCTTAGTGCAGCTGAAGAGGCTTGCTTTCTCTGTTTGGAAGAAGTGGTTTCTCTCCAAAGAGAAAAAGGTTCTAGTTGAAGGAAGCAGTTTGATCCAAACCTTCCACTCCAAAGACAATTCAAAGGAGCTCCATGTAACCACAATCACTTCACCAGTCGTTACAAAAAGCTCTTTTGAAGGTGTGCTCCCCAAGCACCAATTTGGACAGGTGCCATTCACATGACTTCATTATGTCGTCAGGTGATTCTGTCCACCTGTTTGTGTGTGACGCACTCCTCCTTTAAGGTCACAATGGGGAAGGTGAGAAACCTGATTATCAAACCTTGTGTAACCACTGAGAGAAGGGCCCAACTGGGGCTCTCGACAACCATATCTAACCATCTTACAGTATCTCTTGTATCACCATGACCACATTTTTATCAAGCATCAATATTCTACAAGGCTGCCATCTAGACTACAAACAAGCGTGCTCTCTCTCTCAGCAAATCTGGCTCCACCAGCCTGGAAAAGCAATCTCATTGGACCACCATCACCTCACTGCTTTGGAATTTAAAGCCTTCCTTTGCAGAACTGTGTTACCTGTATCAAGTCATTTGCATCTTTGGCTGCTGCTTATTACAACTTGATCCTTTGCTCCACTGCCCCGCCCCCAACATGGAGATATGACAGTTTAGAAAGCAAACCCCACAGGACCCAGAGACCCTTTGAGACAACTGTGTGTGAGTGCGCAGGCATGTCCAAGTTTTACATCAAATGTTGAAGGACAAGGCTGGGAAAATATTTGCAATATATTGTATTAACTAAGCTCTCACAAGTGTTTCTCCTAAGACTTCTAATCTAATCCTGTTTATGTTTCTTAGCAACATTGTTTTCATAATTTTTTTGCATGTTAACTGATATCTTAAAATGTTTTCTTCATAAAAACACAATATAAAAAGCAGAAGCATTCTAAGTATGCCATTAGACTAGCTTTCAGAGGGCAAGGGGAAAATATCTACATTCTTGGAGATTAAGCCGTGACTCTTGTTTTTCCATTTATGTTCACTTAAACTAAAAGTCCAAAAGTAGCAGATTTTACTTTCCTAGTTACGTGTGGATTTTAACTTTTTATGCACAAACATAACTGCTGATGGAATTCAGCAAACACTCGTGGCTGCCACTGGAAATCCCTTGCTAAAACTAGAGGATTGTTAAACTAAAGCATCCTCCCTCCAGGATAAGACTGCAGTATGAAAACACCTACAGTCCAACTCTCAGTCGTACCATATTTGTACTTTGCCTTGCTGACATTGCAGCAGGCATCATTAATCCCAGGATTTGAGGAGATCTAAAACATGTCTTCAACACCTGATTTCTGGAAAAGTATGAACTACACATGTATCAAAATGTTAGCTACTGGTTATACCTTAATTTTGATATTCTCCATGTTGCTCACAGGCACACATAAATACATGTGGCAAACATGCTTATATGTCACACTCATTTTCCACGAAGTAAAATTATACTAAAGGACAACAAATCATTAAAATTAAAGAATAAACCATAATCTGCATCAGGAACTGCATTACTGCAACACGCGTCTATTTACGGCTTTGGAGTTCTAGTCGTCAGGGTATGTAAACAATTGGAATGAAAATGACTGAAAATATGAACTATGTTCTATTTGTGATTTCAATGTAGCAATTTTTCCACAAGGGGATACTTATATATATTGCATGTGATCCATGAGGTGGACATTGGAACACAACTAATCTTACATTTACAGATCATGCAAAATCACTTCATTTTTAAAAATATGTATTTGTGAAAAAAGATTCAGAACTGCCCTACTGAACAATATTTCAGCGTAACATCTTTCATCTGATATATGCAAACTTTTAGGGTCAACTATACAGGAAGGGGTCTAGATACATGGCAAAATCTATATAGCTCAGTTCAACGCAAATGAACAAACTGTCATGGAACTGAGAGCCTATTAACAAGTGTTAACAAGGCCTTCCATACCTGACACACAACCATAAAAGTCTGAAGACTAACTTTTGGCCTTAAATTTATCTATCACCCTAAATTTAGATTGCTCAATGGGGTTTCTCCCCTAGTTAGGTTTGCAAGTATTCTCTTAGGCTTTATTCTGTAGCTCAGTGCCAAGACAAACATTCCTCACCTCTGTAAGGCGATGCAACTGTTGTGACATACATATTCTTCTCGTAATTTTTCAACCGGTCTTGTAGTGTATGAATCTAAGAATAAAGTGATGGATGAGGAGGATAAAACAAACATAACGGAGATGACTCGGAATATGTTTCAACTTTGAGGTGTATTGAATGTACGAGAAAGCAGTTACCAAACCGTGTCCGTCTGTCCCCACCCACTACTGGTGACAACTCAGGGTGTTAAATATTATCTATCTCACTTAAACTTACCATGTAAATATTTGTTAGTGTGCGTTAAACATGTTGGGAAACATTAGCAAAGATTAGGGTTTTCTGTCTGCCTTTCTTTCTGTCTAATTTAAGATCTGATAAAAGTAGACCTGGCCACGAGTCTCCTGGGAAGCAGAGAGGGGCTGGCTAGCACTATACTGAACCTTGACCGAACTGTCCACTCATCCAGTATGAGTGCTTGTTATCTGACCACTTCAGTTTCATAGTCTTACTGGGGGTTTTTCTGTTTGCAGAAAGAGCGTTTTTTTGCTGATTGCAACCGACGAGTGGTTCTGTTCTGAATTGAGTGATTACATATGGGAGTGTTGCTTTGGATCAAAGCATTGCCTCTGGCTTGGCTGATAAGAACAGAACCAGCTACATGTGGTGGGGTAAACCACGGGGGGGGGATTCATCCCAAAGTGGGGGACATCAAAGATCATCTCCCTTTGGGGTCACCAATTGGGAGGACACACAGACAGAGGTGCTTCCCACTGTGGGTTAGAAATTGGAACGGTACAAGAGAAATAAGCATGTCACCTTGACCCAAGGTGTTACTATTGGTATATAAAGCCCTCAGCAGCTTGGAACCAGTTTCCTTGAACAAATGATTTACGCATCTACTCCCTCTCTATTAATAACAGGCAGTCCCCTTTATTGTACCCTTTTCAACACTCGCTAAAAACTTTTTTTACCTTTTTTTTTGTTTTACCTAGAAATATAGTTTTATTATGTATGCTGGTTGTTAAATTCTTTTGATTTTATCTGTATTTTGATAATTGAATTATGCATACTTCCTTTATTGTTTGTTACATTTATATCCCATCTTTCCTTTGAGGAGCTCAAGGTGGCTTACAAAGTCATCCTCTTCCCAATTTTATCCTCACAACAACCATGTGAGATAGGGTAGGTTGAGAATGAGTAACTGACTGTAACACTTAAGAAGGTTTGAAATACAGTCAAACCTTGGTTCCCAAATGCCTCCATTTTGGAGCATTTCGGCTCCCGAATGCTGAAAACCCAGAAGTAAGTGTTCCAGTTTTTGAATGTTTTTCGGAAGCTGAATGTTTGACGCAGCTTCCGCTTGAGTGCAGGAATCTCCTGCAGCCAATTGGAAGGCGCACCTCTGTTGTCGAACATTTCGGAAGTCAAACAGGCTTCATTAACAGATTATGTTTGACAACCGAGATTTGACTGTAGAATCAAAGGTTATTTGAGCTTGGTTTTGATGGTTGCAAACTGATTCCTTTTAGGGCTTTAGAGCGTTGCACTTTTAATAGCCTGGTGATGATGAGCAGACTGAATCTGTGTTTAACGGCACTAAACTATGCATGTTTACTCAAAAATAAGTTCAATAAGGCCTACTTCCATGAAATGGGATTTAGGGTTGCAGCCTAGGTAGCCTTTTATAACCTTTTCAAATTATACCTAGAAAATGCTTTAATGTACCCAAGAGCTAAAGTTCCTTCTTCTTCCTTACCTGTTCTATGAATTCCTGTTCTTTCAGCTTTGAATCACTGACAAGTGTTGTTTTCTGGGCCAGCTGGGCCTGAAACACAACCAGAAACATATATGAAAATGTGCACTACAAACACTTAATTTATTACTTTTCATCAAAATTGTAAACAGCATCAAAGGAAAACTTGACATTATGCTAGTGGTAAAGATGAAGCCAATCTTACCTGAAGTTCAGCTATTGTTACCTAAAACAGAAAAATGAACATTTAATAAAATGTATTTGCTTCATACCCTGCCAAATAAAACAAAAAGCACTGCAGGATATTTTTCATCCATATGAATTGTCATTAATTCCTGATTAACTCTCCATTATCTATTTGTCTGATTCATAATCTTATTGCAAAATCTGAGATGGTATATATTACTATTTGGTACAAAGAAATTTGTCTTGCAATTTTTTATCACATAAAAGCAGTTTTGAGGAGCATGAATAATTAAAATAGCTTAGTCACACCCAAAATACAGCTTGAAATAAATCTAAATGGTACAAAGAAACTATTCAAACGAGAGACTTAAGTAACTTTTAAATGAATTCCTAAATAAGTAATATACATGTTTTCTTGTGAACAATTTGCTTTCATCATAATCTCTATTAGTTGAGAGCCATGAAGACTGGGTTTTTTCTTTATGCTGAACTCCCACGGTCATTACATGAACTTACAAGCCCATTTTAAATTAATGAGACATGTGTACATAAATGGCTGCAAAAGGACATTATCAAAGAAACTACAAATTTTGGTTAAATTGTGACACTAAATTGTAATCCCACTATTCAAAAGGATAAAATACAACATATATACCGTATTTTTCGCACCATAGGACGCACTTTTTCCCTCCTAAAAAGCAAGGGAAAATGTGTGTGCGTCCTATGGAGCGAATGCAGGGGGGGAGGCAGGCGGGAAAAGCCCCCAAGAGCCGCACACAAGCTCCGTGCGCTCTTGCGGGCTTTTCCACAGGAGGGAGAAGGGACTGACTGGCCGCATCAGTCCCTTCTCCCACCTCCCAGGAAAGCCAGGAGAAGCCGTGCAGCCCTTTTAAAGTGCACGCGGCTTCTGCCGGTTTTGCGGGAGGTGGGGGAATTCCCCCACCTCCCAGAAAAGCCAGGAAAGCCCTGCGCAGCATCTCACGGCAAGGAGAGGCTGCGCGGGGCTAAAGGGGAAGGCAAAACAGCGAGCGGGATCCATCCCGCTCGCTGCCTTGCCTTCTTCCATAGCCGCGCGCAACCCCTCCGCAAGGAGAGGCTGCGCGGGGCTAAAGGGGAAGGCAAAACAGCGAGCGGGATCCATCCCGCTCGCTGCCTTGCCTTCTTCCATAGCCGCGCGCAACCCCTCCGCAAGGAGAGGCTGCGTGGGGCTAAAGGGGAAGGCAAAACAGCGAGCGGGATCCATCCCGCTCGCTGCCTTGCCTTCTTCCATAGCTGCGCGCAACCCCTCCGCAAGGAGAGGCTGCATGGGGCTATGGCTTCTTTAGCCCTGTGCAGCGTCTCCCAGCAAGGAGAGGCTGCATGGGGCTAAAGGGGAAGCCAAAACTTGGCTTGCTCCATAGCTGCTCGCAACCCCTCCGGCAGGGAGAGGTTGTGCGCACCCTGTACGCTGCTCTTTGGGGCTGGAGGGGGGAAAGATTTTTTTCTTGATTTCCCCCCCCCCTAAAAACTGGGTGCGCCCTATGGTCCGGTGCGCCCTATGGTGCGAAAAATACGGTAATATAAGGGTAAAGGGCAATCTGAACACGCAGTTTCAAATGAGAGTAATAAAAAGTGTGAAATACTTTTTTCACCCCAGGATGCCGACACTCCTCATCTCAGGAGATGAGGGTTTCAAACAAACGATTGAAAGGGGGTGGGTGGGTAGGCACATACAGAACTTGATTTTTATTTGCATGTTAGGAGATGGTCCCAAAGCTATTCATTCTCCCTGCACTACTACAGTAGGTGGTATGTGGTACTAAATCATAGGCAATAATTAGCCTGCAGCACTTGGTTGGTTGTAGCTCCAAGGCTTTTACACTCTCCATTTAGGGCGATTGAACCCCGGGTTTCGACAGCCGAACAGTGAACTCGCAGCATAAAATAGCTGGATGAATGACTTCTCAGACATTGAAATGCTGTCATGTACTTATCCGTCCCTATGGTCCATAGGCTATGGAACTGACATACTTATGGTAAGCAAACTCCTAGCCAATCTGCAAGCTTGCGCCACTGAGCCCGCCAATTCTGACTGTAGCATTTTCTGGGAATAGAGCACTATCAGTTGTCGGGAGCAGGTTGAAGGTAGTCTCTTATTGTGGGGCTGGAATCCTGCTCCTTATTAGCACCTCCAGATGATGTGGTCTTCAGCACCTGAATGGACCATGTTAGCCTCCATATCCACAGCTAGCTGCACGTATGTGATGTGGTTCTAATCACGTCACAAAAGTGCTTGGGTGGTATTCAACCATGTCTCACTCAGGGTAGACCCACTGAAATTAATCAACCTAACTTACGGTTATATTCATTAAATTCAATGGGTCAACTCTGAGTAAAGCTTCGTTGAGTGCTGTCGCTTATTTCCCAATCTCTCTAATTTCAAAGGAAACCAAGTGCAACTAACTTAGTCTTGAACCAACTGTATATATAACTAACTGATTTACTACTGAAATAAAACTAAGATATATAAGAATAGATCAGTTTCCACAGTTAATATTATTTGCCTCTATAGCATATAACAGCAATTGCTTCAAATATGAGAGACAACAGGCAATAAAGGATAAAAAACAGCCAAGCCCCTTTGCCAATGAAGGTAAACTAAGATACAAGCTAAGAACCACAATAAATTCCTAAGTAAAAATTTGTAAAATAATGTTTTCTAACTTACTTCACCACTGTTCCAGCTTTCTTCATCTGCCAGTCTTTGTTTGTACTCCTCCTGCAATTTCTCCAGCTGGTTCTGAAGCTCATTTACTTTTTCTGTCATTTCTTCTTCTCGAGTCTTCAGAACAAAATAAATAAATAAAACCATTATATACTTCAAAATTAGGAAACAATCTGGCTTCCATCAGCTTTAGCTACAAGAACTTTAACTGCGAAGTACTGAATTATACATGAATACTGGATGAAACTGCGCTCTGACTTTTAGAAACGCAAAAACAAGCAATACCATATATACCTCAAGAATTTCTTCATACTTTTTCACTGTCCTTTGTAGGTCATCATCTTTTTCTAGCAACTTTTTGTGTAACTGAGTTATCTCTGCGTGGTGACTTTCTATGAGTTCAGATTCAACCTCCTGAGCTTTACCTGTGAAAAATGGTCAACAGTGTTTATATATCACATTTTAACTGGGATGCTATTTTAACTGAATTAGCAGCAATACATTCTAGATACATTAAATGAATACTACAGTAAAAGAAGAAACTCTAAAGAAGAATTCATTAAAAAAACGCTATTAGAATCTAATGACATGTCGACATGTCAAAACATAACTGATAACATATTCCTTTTCTTATTTTGGCATACAAGGCGTCTTCTTTCACACTAGAGTAGGTTGGGTCAAACAAGCCAGTATCAGGTTAAAATCAGTAGGCAAGATTATGCTTTGAGTAGTAAGCAATGAATTAAACTTCACTCAAAGGTTTTACTGCTTATCTATCACCTCTTCTTTCTCTACTTTTATTTTTTACAGCTGTTAGTACAGTTGGAACTCGCCACTCCTATACATAGTCATTGAATGCGTAATTCTTACTAAAAAACTAAACAGATGTTATGGTACTTTCAACCTATCTGAACTTCATACTTGTTAACTAATTGGCAGTATTTATTATCAGATATATATGCAAAATTAATATATTTACATTAATGAGTTTGCATATGTATATATATGTGTGTGTGTGTACACACACACACACACACACACACACGATACAGTATTACATAAGCATTCAAATCTAGGGCAAGAATAGAGGAGAATTCAAGGCTTGTTATCATGTCCCTTACTGTTCTGTCTATGGGTCTATGGAAGTTCTTTCTTCTAAATTGATCTTATAGGAATGGATCTGATGGTTGAATTTAGAAGAGATATAGCCATTTAAAATCAACACAAGGTACTGTTCCAACTCACTGATTGTTTCTTTTACGGCTGTTTCTATTTCTTGGTCCTTTTGTGCCATCTGGGTATTGAATTCTCTCATCAACTGCTTTAATGTGGAGTTGTGCTTCAATTCAATGTCCTCCTGTTCATATCTATAAAGGTACAGCAAAATAAGAAGTCCAGATATGGCAGTTCAAAAGTAAAGCAAAAAAGCATATTAATTTCTAACAGAGAGATTTGAGAGCCTGCCAAGTATAAGATTGCGTTAAAATAAATGGCTTTCACTAACGGTTTTTCTTTACATTTGTATGATTATTTGTATGATTGAGACAATAGTTACTGAAGAGAGAAAAATAATTCATTAAGAAAAATGTTACCAAACAGACTTTTGTGAAAACGTACTGAGGATAAAACTTCATCTAACTATGATAATTGAAAAATGTGTCCAGATAAGGCTATAAAAAGGAGGATTTGCTCCAAGTGCAGTTTGTACAAATCCAATTAATTTTGTTAGGGCAAATGAAATAATTTAATTACACCTGAGATTTGACCTACAAACTCCTAAGGCTTTTAGGACAATGTAGGACAAGGATGTAGACCCAGCAATCCTCCCCTTTGAGGCATGTGAAATGAAACCAGGAAACAACTAAGTTTCCAGCTGCTATACAGTCATACCTCGGGTTGTGAACATGATCCGTGCGGGAGGCACGTTCGCAACCCGCAGTGTTTGCAGCCTGAAGCGCTGCGTCTGCGCACGCGCATGGCACGATTTGGCCTTCTGCGCATGACGTCATTTTGTGCTTCTGCGCATGCGCGAGTGTCGAAACCCGGAAGTAACCCGTTCCGGTACTTCCGGGTTCGGCGTGGTCTGCAACCCAAAAACGTGCAACCCACAGCATTCGTAACCTGAGGTATGACTGTAGTTTCTAGCTGCATCCAAACCAGGAAATCATTGTTATCAGCTTTGGAACAAGCCAGAATATTAAATTTAGATAAATGGGAAAGTAGGGTTAGAGACTTCTTGGTTTGATTATTGAGACAAAAGGATGAATTAAGGAGCTTGTGTATTGAGGGCAGAGTGTAAGGTTCACTTGAGGCTTTTTAAATGGAGTTAAAAAGTAAAGGTAAAGGTACCCCTGCCCGTACGGGAAGGTACTAGCGGGAAGGTAAATGGCGTTTCCGTGTGCGGCTCTGGCTCGCCAGAGCAGCGATGTCACGCTGGCCATGTGACCCAGAAGTGTCTGCGGACAGCGCTGGCCCCCGGCCTCTTGAGTGAGATGGGCACACAACCCTAGAGTCTGTCAAGACTGGCCCGTACGGGCAGGGGTACCTTTACCTTTTTACTAGAACTTACTTTATTTTTTGTTCCATTTCTTCTACCGATTCTTTTTTCATTATCTCCAGCTCCTGCTGATGTTCCTTCCGCAGGATGCGCAAATCCTTCTGTAGCCTACTCACATCTTTGGCAAGTTTCTGTTTCTCCCGCTCAGTCTCCTCCACTTTAGCTTGCAAATCCTTTTGCTCGATGTGCAGATCATCAAGCAGTTTCTGAAGCTCAAGGACTGATCTACTCTTTTCTTCTGTGCTTTCTTTCAAGTCTTTTATAAGGCCATTTCTTTCCTCCAGCTGCTGCTGGAGTCCCTGCAAATGTTCATCATGTTTTGAAATAGTATCCCCCATCTCAATTCTGTTCAGTTCTCTCTCTTTTGTTAAGGTCTCATCCAAACTGTGTATCTTTTGTTGCAAAGACTGCCTCTCTCCCTCGTTTTCTTGCAGCTTTTCCTGCAAGTCTTTAATCATACCCTCCATATTTTGCTCTTTTTGTTCTTTGGTTTTCAATTCTTCTTGGATAGCTGCATGCTGCTTACTTTGCTCCTCAAGTGCTAGTTGAAGCTTTTCATGGCATATGGTCTTCTTGCTCCTTTTTACAGAGTTCTTCTTGTTGATACTGAGCCTCTAGCTTTGAAACACTACTTGCTTTTTGTTCCTCATCATACATCTTTAGCTGTCTCTCCTTTTCCAATAAATCTTTTTGTAAACCATCTATTTTTAATTCATACATCTGTTGCATGTTCCCTAATGCACATACTTTGTCTTGTTCTGTGGAAACTTTTAAGGTTTCTACCTTCTGTATCATCTCCTTTTCTAACTCAGAATTGATTGATCTAATTTTGTCTTCTAAATACGTAATCTTGTCTTCCTTGTCTTGCAATTTTTGCTTTAACTGCTGTTCCATGTCTTGTCTATATTGCTGTTCCCTTTCTTCCATTTGAGATGTCAGCTGCTTCCTAATAGAAGCAATTTTTTGTTCAGCCTTTTTTCCCAGGTCTCCTATTTTAGCAGTGGTTTCTGAAGTAAGCCTCTCTTCCAAAGACTTTAATTCCTCCTCTTTGCTTTTCATTAAAGCCACTTTTGTTTCTTCAAATTCTTTTGATTTTTCCCCAAGGTCAACTTCCATGGTCTGCATTTTCTTCTCAAAAAGTAGTACTTCTTGTTCCATCTCTTTAAGCCTTTTATCCTTTTCCATAACTGCCACCTGAGTTTGTTGAAGCTCTTGTGCCAGCTCTTTTTGCGCACTGTTCTGCTCATTGTGTCTTTTGAGTTCGTCCATTAAGGAATCGTTTTCTGCTGTTTTCCGAGTGATGTGTTCTTCGAGCTCAGCAATCCTTGCTGTATGGATTTTTAACTCGGCAACCAAATCAGACTCTTGTTTTTCTCTTCTAATCTGCTTTTGTTCCAGTAAGCCTTTCAAATGTTCTATGTGCTTGGTTTGCTTATCACACACTTCCTTCATTTTATTCAATTCCTCTTCTTTCTCAATAGCTTGGTTATTACTTAGTTCAACTTTGTTTTGTAGTTCTTTAATTGTGTTATGATTCTGTGTAAATCTTGACTGGGCTTTCTTCTTCCACTCTGACATCTTGTTCATCCAGTGGTCTACCTGTTCAAGAGCAGTTGCTTTTTCTTGACTCAGTGTTTCAATTCTGGAAGACAATTCTTGCACCTCATTCAACAGCTGAAGTCGATTTTCTTTGTGTTGCTTGTTTAACAGAGTCGTGGCAGCATCTTTTTCTGATTTGTCGATTTCAAGCTTGAGATTTAACTCACTGACAAGCTTGTTAAGATCAGCGATCTCTGCCTTCTTTTCATTTAGCTCCTCCTTCAGAGAAGTGACAGCATTAATATGTTCAGACAATTCTTTCTTCAATTGTGTGATGAAAGTTTCTTTCTCTGTTGCTGCTTCCTGCTGGTGTCCCCCTTCTTTTTGCAATTGCTCTTTTTCTGTTACGAGTCTGTCAATATCCACTTTCATAGACATTATCAAGTTTTCCTTTTCTTGCAAGTGTTGTTTTGATTCTTTGAAACGGCTGGTTAAAGTATCACGACTCTCTCTTATTTGCTTAAGTTGAGCTTCTAGGTCAGGGATTTTACAGGTTTTAATTAATATTGTTTCTTTTATTTTTGTTGTGCAATTGTGACAGTGTACAACTCTAGAAATTGCCGAAGAAATTTTTTCATTGCATTTCACAAGCAGTTCAGTGATTTTTATTTCTAGGAAAGATTCTGCTTTCTGCCGGTAATCCTCTAGTTGTGTAGCTATATCCCTTGCAAACTTCTCAAATTCTGCTTTTTTTTGTTGAAGCTCCAAATGTTTGTCCTCCAGTTTTTTCTCATAATCTTCACACTCTTTAGAATGTGACAATTTCAGAGCCTTGAGTTGTTCATTGTATGTTTTCAACTTCTCTGCCAGCTCACCAGCTTTGTTCTTCTCTTTTTCTCCTACTGCTTTTACTTCACTAAGCTGTTCCTGGACGTCTATCTTCTCCTTCAGAGACAAACTAAGGTCATCCTCTAGTTTCTCAAGTTGCTTTTTCAAATCAGTTTCTCTCTGCGTCAAAACTGTCACTTGAGCTAATGTCTGCTGTAGCTGTTCTTGCAACTCATTCAACAATTTGTCCCTCTCTGTCTGTTCATTCTTTATCCGAGTAATATCTGCATTTCTGTCCTCCCTTTCAATACTGAAGGTGGCCAGTTTCTGTTTCAGGTCTCCTACTTCTTGATCTTTTTCTTGCAACTCCATTTCATGCTTTTCTCCAAGTTCTTCAGCTAGCTGACTCAGCTTCTTCTCCCAGGTTTGGACAACTTCTTCTAGTTCTTGTTTGTGAGCTTCAAGCAGGCTTTCTAGTTGTTCCTTCTGATTCTTCTCCAGTTTTGACACAGCATCATCAATTCCAGTTGAACTGGCATGGGCCATTTCCAGCATTTTTGCATTGAATTGCTTCTCTTTCTGACTAAATTCCAACTGTTTATTCTCCATCTCCTTTTTGAGTTTTGCTTCCTGCTCTGAAAGTTTCTTCTTGAATCTCTCCTGCATTTCCTTTGATTTTCCTTTAACTTTCTCCATTTGTGTCTCTTGTTGCTTAAATTTGATTTCATATTCACTCTTTAAAGCACTAATTTCTGCCTCTTTGGCTGATAGCTGCTGTCCAAGTTTCTCAATTTGTTGATTCAATAGCCCCTTTGTTTGTTCAAGCTCATTTTCCTTATCAGTAAAATGACTCTTTGCCTGATTTACCTCTTCTCTAAGATCTCTTAACTGTGATTCATGCTGTTCTGTCAGAGATGACACTTTCTGCATATTTTCTCTCTTTTGCTCCTCAAGTTCACATTTCAGATCATGTACCTCGGATATCCGAAACTTTAATTCAGCTTTGAGTTCATTCAGTTCAGCTTCAGTTTTTACAATCAGTTCATCAAGACGTGATTTTTCAGCGTCTACATTTCCCAGCTTTTGCTGCAAATCTATTAACTTTTGTTCGTAAATGCTTGCTTGTTCTCTGGCCATGCTCTCTTTGGACTGAAAAATGCCATCTAGTTCAGTAGACTTTTCTTTGCATTCAATTTCAGCCTTTCTAAGAGATTCCTTCAGTGTTTTCAAATGCTCTTCCAATTCCACTTGGCATTTCTCTTTTTCTTCCAAGAGTAGCTTGAGTTGACTAATTTCATCTTTGAATGTTTTCTCCATGACTTCCTTATCTTTAAAGATAGTTTCAACTTGTTCCTTATGATGGTTCTTCTCTTGCTCCAGCTTTCCCTCAAACTCTAGCTTTGCTTTATCTGCATCATCTTTTAATATCGACAAACGCTGTTCAAGATCTTGATGAATTTTTAGTGTGTCTGATAACTCAGAAGAGAGTGCTTCTAGTTCGGTTTGTTTCACATCAAGCTTTTCTAAAGTTTTTTCGTTCATCTCTTCTATATGGCCATGAAATTGAGTCTCTTTCTCTTTCAATACTTTAGTCACTTCATCAAGCTGCATTTTCAATTTCTCCATTTCCGACTGCTTCTGCAGTGTTAATGTATCAAGTTTTTCTGTCCAAACTTGTTGTTCTTGCCGTTTCACATCCTCAAGCTCTTCTCTATGTTTTTCAACCATGGCAGTGATTTCTTTATGGTGCCTGTTGTTTTCTGATTCTATTTGAGCAGTCAGTTCCTCCAACTGGCTGTCATTCTGCGAACACTTTGGAAGGGAACTTTCCAATTCTAGAATTCTCTGTTGAAAAGATTGGTTGAAAAATATTATCAATCCCTTTTTCTGTGACTGACTCCTACTTGAATACAATACTTTAATGAAATTATTACTATGAGCTATACATTTCAAAACATTAGGACATAATCCATCCAAAATTAAGTACTTTCAAATCCCAATGATGGGCGCGTTAAACATATGCTCCGCTGCCTCCCATTTGAATCAATGGAACTCCAAAGTGCTGAACTTTGGCTGGATTGCACCCTTGATAGGTGCCAATTTTATATAGCCTTGATGTATAGAAGGAGAATGGGGAAATATTACTGGACCCAAAGCTGAGGAAAACTTCCAGAACCACTGCATACTTTTCTCATTAAAGTGGAATAAAGACAAAGAGCAAGGGGGTTCTCAAATACCATCACAATGAATAATAACAAGAACAATTTGAATCTTCAAAGTATGACTAAGATAAGAAAGTCCTTAACAAAATATTTCCTCAAAAGAGCCAACTAATGGTCAGTTAAGTACCACAATGCAGTATTTGGCCCTTTCCTCCCGTCTCCCTGTAAAATCACCCACAACTGTACATAAAGGCGCGCTTCTCCCCAGTGCCAGCCTCCAAACCAGGTCGAGGAACAGCGGGATGGCGGCTCTGCGCCTCCTCGCTGTCTCCCGAGCTTGTGGGGCTGGCCGATGTCTGCCCAGCGCGTGGGGCGCTCTGCTTCAGGGCGCCCCGCCGCCGGGCGGCAGGCTGCTATTCGCAGCCTAGGGAGCCCTGCGGGAACTCCCGCAGAGCTCCCCACGCTTGCTGATAGCTTCCTGAAGCCTGGAGAGCGAGAGGGGTCGGTGCGCACCGACCCCTCTCGCTCTCCAAGCTTCAGCGAAAGCCTGTATTCGCCCCATAGGACGCACCCAGATTTCCCCTTCATTTTTGGAGGGGGAAAAGTGCGTCCTATAGGGCGAAAAATACGGTATTTAGAGACACTATGCTTGGCTCAAATCACAGTTTCTGCCCCCTTTGTTGTCTGCCTCAACTGATTTCACCATCTTTCTCATGAATCACATTGTGTTTTTAATATTTTGTTGGGAGTCGCCCAGAATGGCTGGGGCAACCCAATCAGATGGGTGGCATGTAAATAATAAAATGTAATAAATAATAATAATAATAATAAACAAACAGCCATGCCCTTTGGGGCCAAGCACCCTCCCCATATTTCCCCCATTAGACGCAATTATAGGTATGCATACCCCTCATATGCATTTACATTTTAGTTTGTGCAATATTAAAAAAGCAGTCCAATGTTTCAAATCTTTTACTCACAGTTTTGTAGGTTTCTATTTCTTGCTGCATGTCCTCTAGTTTTTTGTCACATTCCAACTGAATTGCTTTTTTCTGCAGTTCCAGTTCTTCTAGGGCTAACGATTCCTGTTGTTCTTTTTCTTGTGTAGTCTGTAGATGTTCACTCTGGCACTTTTCCTGTGTCAAGAATTATGACTTTTTAAAAAAGAAAGTACCGTAAAGTCACTGATCTATCAGCAGCACTAGGAGTATTATCTATTTTAATTCTTGCTCATACTTTTTTTAAAAAAGTGGATATCACACAAACAGATTAAAAATCCACAAAGAACCTTATAATTTTATATTTTTCATGTAACTGTAAAGAATCTGAAAGTGAAGTTTCTGTGTGCAGAAAATGAAGAAATAGAAGCAATAATCTAGATTTAGAATTACTCTATTAGTCTTATCTAACCTTACATACGTGCATGGCCAACAGTAACAGGGTCTAAGGGAAAAGCTCCCATGTCAAAACTCTGTAACCTTTTCCTGACTCTACATATCCATCCATAGGGATGCAAGCACATTTGCTCCATGGTATACAGGGAGCCTTCAACCAAACACAGCTTACTAATAATATGTGCATTTGCAAACACTTGAGTAAAGGTGACTGAATAAAAAAGACTGCCTTTTCAGTTACACAACACAATGAAATATGGACAAGTTCTGTCTGGAAACTCTTATACAGAAACCCATTTCCATACATTATGTTTCAGGTATATGTTTAAACCAAGAAAAATACTTAAAAAGGGGAGCGGGAGAAAGAAAAAGGAAGCATTTAGAACAGATAGGCAAACTCTCCAAAACGTGTCAAAAGTTCAGAAGTTCCTCTTTATGTAACAGGCATGTCTAGAACAGGGGTCGGCAACCTTTAAGACAAAAAGAGCCACTTGGACCCGTTTCCGGAAAAAAACAAATAACTGGGAGCCGCAAAACAAGCCAAATGTAAATAACCACACATTCTTCCCCTTCCCCCATAAAGGATCCCGAAGCACCACCACCACCCCCCCACACAAAAACACACAAAAACCCCGCCCTGCCATTTCCCTCGAGCGCACGCGCTCTCTCCCCCTCGCCTCAGGTGCCTCGCGCACGGGGCTGAGGAGAGCGTGGCCTGGGTGGGCGGCTCTCGAAGTCGCGCGGTGCGCGGGGCCTGAGGGCGGGCGGGCTGCCACGACGGCAAGAGGGAGCGCGCCTGCGTGTGGACGCGCCTGTGTGTGGCAGGTGCCAGCGGTGGGAGTGGCAGCCGCGTCCACCTGAGGGGAGAACCGTCGCTGCGCCCTAGCGCACCTTCCTGCCACCGCCCTCCTCCTCTTCCTCCTCGCTCCCTGCACCATGAGGGAAGAGGCGCCGCCGTGAGCTGCTCGGCCGCTTCCTCACTGTCCTCCAGACGAGGCATCCCCCTCGCCGCCGCCCATCCTACCCTGGGGGAAGCTATGAGCCATGAAGCTGCCTGGCAGAACTTCCCTCCGGAGGCAGCAGCAGCAGCAGCAGCAGCCCTTCTCCGGCCGCCGCTGCCTCCTCCTCCATCCCAGCAGCCGCCGCCTCTCGAGCTCCGCTGCCGCCGCCGCCTTGCTTCGCCCGGCTCAGCTGCCCAGCTCCCTCCCCCTCCTCTTTCTGGCGCTTCTGCTTTTCTGCTCAGGGTCCCCGAGGATCTCCGGAGCCGCGGCAAAGGTGTAAAAGAGCCACATGCGGCTCCGGAGCTGCGGGTTGCCGACCCCTGGTCTAGAACATCTAGGATTGGTTACTGTAATGTACTGCATGTGCAGTTACCCTTGAAAACTACTTAAAAAACTACCGAGTTTGTTCAAAGTACAGTGTCCTGACTGTTGACTGGGACAAGTCAGCAGGAAGGTATCCCACCAATATTGAAAGCACTAGCTTCTTGCTAGTTTCCAAGCACAACTGAAAATCCTGGTGCTCATCTTTAAAGCCTTCTAGAGTTTAGGACACTGGTCCCATACCAATCTGCCAGTATACTGAGGTCATTTTCGGAGGCCCTCCTCCAGGTGCCCCAAATTTCTGGAGGTAAGAAATGGTGGGATCCCATTTGTAGAATTCCTCTCCCAGGGAGGCCTACCATTTACTTCCATTGTTCTCCTTTTGACACCAGGCACCAACATTCTATTCTCCCAAACTTTTTAATGCATTTTTGTGTTCTTGATAGTGGTTAAGAGCGGTAGATTCGTAATCTGGGGAACCGGGTTCGTGTCTCCGCTCCTCCACATGCAGCTGCTGGGTGACCTTGGACTAGTCACAATTCTTTGAAGTCTCTCAGCCCCACTCACCTCACAGAGTGTTTGTTGTGGGGGAGGAAGCGAAAGGAGAATGTTAGCCGCTTTGAGACTCCTGAAGGGGAGTGATAAAGCGGGATATCAAATCCAAACCCTTCTCTTCTTCTTCATGAACTTACTTATTGCATTTTAGTTTAGAAATTGCTGAAGGGTGGTGTGCATATATGTATATATTTTAAATAAATAGGTTTTATTATTCACTTGGTCTGTAGATTCCCAGATATACATCCAAATGCATCTTTATGCACCAAGTTCTCCTATTCATACTTAAGTTTTATTCATCATCACAAACACAGGTATACACACACCAGACCCATCTGGCTCTAAAGAGACACTTACAAGAGCTGTTTTCATTTGTTCCTGAAACGCCTGGTCTTGAGCCCGTAATCTATCATTTAATATCTGTTCTTTGCTAGCCAATTCCCTTTTATGCAACTTTTCTAGTTCGGTAATTCGTTCTTCTGAAGATTTCTGCAAATTTGAAAGGCACACGTCTGATGTTACCCAAGAAACAAAGGTGCTTCTATATTATTGATCGAAGAGAAATGAAATAAAGAACAAAAATGTGACTAAACAGATTGCTTTCTTGCAAGAAATGCTATTTGGTGCTTTTTTTTTTTTTTAAAGATCCACAAGAGTTCCAGTTCACATCTGCAATTCTATATACATTTACTAAGGAATAAGTCCCATTCACCTCAAAGAGGCAGAGATGCAGAGAACTGGACTATGAATGACTCGCATCTTCCCATTCAGTTTTTAATAGGCCTTCAAGAGTACAATTCTAATTATGCTTACTCGGAAGTCCCACTGAATCCAATCGGCCTTACTTCAAAGTATGCATGCATAGAACTACAGCCAAACACTGCAATCCTATTAATATTTACTCAGAAGTAATAGCTGCATACAATAGAGTTAACTCCCAGATAAGTATGTATAGCATTACAACCTTAGTCATATATTTCTGGGTGTTGCCTAGCAGCCAGGTTCAATACAATACTACAGAATCCATATACCTTTTCTTCCTTATAGAGATTCAAACAATTCCTATCCATATTTTGGTTTTGCAGCAGAGAAAGTAGCATGATTAAACACACACACAAGGCTTTAATGGAACAATGTAAAGCTGCAAGATTGATTTATTATCAGATTCCTAGTACAGTGGTACCTCGGGTTACAGACACTTCAGGTTACGCATTTCCAGGTTGCGCACCGCACTGAACCTAGAAGTACCGGAACGGGTTACTTCCAGGTTTTGGCGCTCGCGCATGCACAGAAGTGCCGAATTGCAAACCGTGCGTGCGCAGCCGCGGCACTGCGGGTTGTGAACGTGCTCCCGCACAGATCACGTTCGCAACCCGAGGTTCCACTGTATAAAGGTAAAGGTAAAGGGACCCCTGATCATTAGGTCAAGTCGTGGCCGACTCTGGGGTTGCGGCGCTCATCTCACTTTATTGGCCGAGGGAGCCGGCGTACAGCTTCCGGGTCATGTGGCCAGCATGACTAAGCCGCTTCTGGCGAACCAGAGCAGTGCACAGAAACGCTGTTTACCTTCCCGCTGGAGCGGTACCTATTTATCTACTTGCACTTTGACGTGCTTTCGAACTGCTAGGTTGGCAGGATCAGGGACCGAGCAACGGGAGCTCACCCCGTCACAGGGATTTGAACCGCCGACCTTCTGATCGGCAAGTCCTAGGCTCTGTGGTTTAACCCACAGCGCCAACCGCGTCCCGTTCCACTGTATACTGCACTTTTATTCACCCATACACCACCCCAACAAGGGAAGATTGAACTCTGCCAGTATTAACATGATATATTCTGATTTCAATGTGAATTGTTACCTTATCTCTGCAGTTTACCTTACAGAAGATAAAGCATTTACCTTCATAATATTAACCACCTCCTGCTTCACCCTTGTTAATTCCTGTTGAAGGCTCACACGCTCTTCCTCGCTTGCCTTTTCTACTGCCTTGATCCTTTCATCCATTTCTGCTTGCAGTTTCTTGCGTGCTTCTTCAGTCCTTTGGGCTGCACTGAGAGCCTTCTCAAGCTCTTCAAATGCTGCAGAAAACAAGAAAAAGAAGAGGTTATATGTATAGTTTAGCATGACAGAAACTCTAGACAAAGTAAAATTACCATATGTAGGCCATATTCTCACTGAATAACCTAGCTAAAGAGAAATCATGAAGTCAGCCTGGAAAGGCAAATGTTTACTATCATGTCAACAAAATAAAACTCAGAAATCAAGGGACTAGGCTCTGCTTCCTGCTTAGTGTCAAACCTCTCAACCCTTAAAATAAATTGAACAAGAATATTGTATAGAAGAGGTAATTCAACAGAAATTCCCTTTTCACTCATGACTGCATAGCAATTCTCAGGAGTCTATAAGAATGTCTGGAATGCCTGCACTCATGTAATCCTAAGAGCAGCTTCTTTGCATTAGAACCGTGAATAACTATACTGCCATTTAACTTTAATACAGTTTCTTTAAACTTCATTACAGCTCAATTGGTGTCCTTGTTTTAGCTCTCTAGAAGACAGGTCAGAACACTACTTTCATCAGCACATAACAGTAAATCTAACCACGGCTAAGTGTGAACAAGCAAAGATCACAGCCACTTTGTTCCTCCTCTGAGCCTCTCGCACTACCAGAATCCAAGTCATGGTTTGCTTGGGCATTACATGCAAATCTGAGCCACAGGTTGTCATTTCCAAAGAAACGACGAGTGATAAGCAAATAACAGCTGGTTACAACTCATAGGTTATTTGGAATGAGACAAACCATAAGCCTGGATTCACACATAATGCTAAACTAAATGGTGATTTAGCTCTTAGTATTACCGCAGCAACAGGAGGGAAGCAAAACAGCTGATGTTTTTGCTCTGTGCATCAGCAAGCTTGCTCATGTCCACCTAAGCCACAGTTTGGCATAGTGTTATATGTGAACCAAGTCTGGGCAGTGCATAATTAATATTGCAACTTGCTGATTATTTACTATGCATATGACTATATGCTGGTGTTGTCTTAGTCTTCCTTTTATGTAAATTTAGTTGGTGTCTTAGCTGCCTTGATTATCCCTTTTTAAGATAGAAAAGTGGAATGACGATTGTTTTAAAAACATGAAAAATAAGTTTATAATTAAAAAATGTTATGACAATGTTATGACTGAAGAATTTTTATCAATGTTGTTGTTTTGGCATAGTAAAATCCTCAAGCAGTGGATTGCCACATTAGTTAAATTGTTAAAAAAGCTATTTGCATTCTTCTACATGGGGGGAGTCTTCCATAAAGACACTTTGCAATAGAAAAATGATGACATTAACGCCCTTTGCGAAGGCTCTACCACATTAGCATGAGATTTGGCCCTGTGTGTCTTCCAGCACAGTTCAGAACATATTTATCAATCCCATTGTACTGAAATGTAGGTGCATTTCATATGTTCAGCACAAAGTACTAACATAAATAAGCATATACTAGTAACGGACAAATTTAGGAACTGCCATATAATCCAAACATTAACACTACTGCATTTAAAAATATGGCACTGCCCATCTTCTCTGTCTTTTAATGAATTATCTATATGCAGTAGCATTGGCTGTTACTGGGCTATGGCTGCAAATGTCTAGCGCAGTGTCACAGCACTGTCAAGGCTGCAATCTTATATTTGGGTGTAAGCTCCACTGAATTCAATGGGTCTTACTACTGAGTAGACACTCATAGAATTGTGCTAAATTTTATAAGGGGGAAAGGAAATGATTCAACATGAGAATGCTATTTTTTGGGTGGCAGCAGCGTGTCAACTGCAACGCACACTTTCCCCCTTAAGCTCTGATGGAGGATGAGCAATGAAACCTCATGGTGCAATAAATCAGAATTTCAGGTGTCAAAGGGCTACCTTCTAAAAGGCAGAGTTCAGAAATGCAGAGGCCACTTTATTTATTTATTTATTTTGAGCTTTTTGAAATGTAAAGTGGGTGGAAAAGAAGCACATATTCAGGCCCACAGGCAGGAAGAACAGAAACTTTCCAGTAAAGACTAGGAATGACTACTCAAATGCAGAAACCCAGCAACATGCAGCTGTATTACCATAAATACAAACACGTGACACCAGGAAGAAAGCTAGGCAAGCATGAAAACACAAAGAAGCAGCACTTCACAGAAACACAATCTGTTCTCTAAAAGTAAAATTTTATGCATCTCAGGCATCCTAACACATAAGCAGAAACACAACATTACGATTTGAGGTAGCTAATTCTAATACAAGGGGCAGGTGCCAGTTGCAAATGATTGTGTATACTCATGAAGTTACACAACAGGTAGTCCATGTTCACCTTTTACTCACTCAGTGAGTCTGGTTAAACCAAAGCTATAAAACCAAATCGTAAAACAGAGGTGGCTTTTCGCCCCCATTATACTAGCATAGCTGTTTCAAAGTAACCAATGTGTAAGAATATTCTGCAATTTGCACTTGACAGGAAATCTAAGCAAGAGCTGTTTGACAGTGGAATGGGGTACTTCCAAAGTTGATGGGCTCCCCCTTCGTTGGAGGTTTTTAAACAGAGGTTGGATGGCAATTTGTCAGTGATTATTTAGCTGTGATTCCTGCACTGCACAAGGTTGGACAAGATAACGCTTTGGTTTCCATCCAATTCTACAATTCTGTGTTTCTATGAATCTAAGTACACAATGATAAATCACTTCCACTGAACTGATCACATTGTAGCTTTCTGGGGCAAACATGAATGGTTTTCAAGGCAAATGCTGAAGGCATTCCTAAGCAATGCCACCAATGCAATTGAAGCTACGAGCCACAAACAATAGATGAGATGGTAAGCCAGAGTTCTTGACTGTGCTCCTTCAGACTGCAGGTGAGGACAGCAGAGATTTTAAAAAAATTTAAAAGATGTAATTTTAATTTAAGTGCACTTGGTCCTTATTGCAATCAATGAAAAGGGTTCGTCACAACCCAAGTCCCAATCATTCAACAGGAAATAGTCCTTATTGAAATTGCTACAAAAAGTTAAGTACAACTAACTCTCAGACTAGATCCAACCCACTGACTTCTGTAGGGGAAAAACCTCACTGCCCCTCTCTCCACAGAAGAAAGCTGTGCAGTGGAAAGCCATGCTTATCAACTAATCTGCTGTTTGTGACAACTGTCATCACTTTTTAAAAGCAGTTTGTGATAAGGAAGAGGAGCGAAAGGAAGGGTTGAGCTTCACCTGAGCTAGCAAGCTTACATTCACATTCTCAAAAATGCATTTTGTGGGTTTCCACAAAATGGTCTATCTATGAAATAATCAGCTATAGAAGAATGGTATCTTTTACTGGTCCAACTCTGTTTTAAAGCAAGTTATCAAGCTGTTGAACGCAAGTTGAGCACACAGGTTCTCCATCAGTTATAGGGGATTTAAGATAAAGTATAAATGATCTGTTTTTATACATGAAAGCCTAGCTTCTCACCTTGCACTAACAAATAAAGATTCAGAAAAGGTTCAATTGACTTTTGCCGGACAAAGAGATAGCTCATGGCTCAGAGTGTTTCAGTGAAAAATATCACATTTGACTACGCTTTGTGCGATTCCAAGGGATAAAAGAAACACTACTAGGCTGCAGAATATTGGCAATTGATGTTGCGCCAAAAAAGATGAAGGCAGCCATATACAAGAGTGTGTTGCATCATTTTGAGCCACAGAGTGGTATTCTGTGAGATCAACAGCATATCCTTTTTCTCTACTGGAACAGGTGAAGGAAAATGATGAGCACAATTTGCAATTATTTTTAAAACACTCTTCATTTTTTTAAAAAAGTGAAGTGCCAGCCATAAGCCAACTCCTTGCTTTTGCTCTGATGAAATACCTAGGTGTGGTTCAAAAGCTTGCAACAAATTTTCATAAACAACTAGAGTTGGTGCAATAAAAGCTATCTTTACCTCTTTCTTTTAAGTCTTTCATGCCATATTAACTGATGTCTTCAACTTATGGCACTATCTAGTGGTGAAAGCAGGAGAAAGCAGCATGGAACCAAATTATGCAGACTAAGAAATACTCATTTAGTCTGTTTCAACAAGTATGCAAGAAATGGAAGTGCAGAACTGTAACAAAAAAAATCATCTAGTCAAAACAACATTCTCTTACATTTAGGCAACCTGCACCAATAATGATTTTGAATAAGCACCTGAATATATAAAAGAGTTTCTTGTCTATGAATGAAATAGCTTTTATGCAAAGAAGGAAAACAATTACAAGGATTTATTTGAAATGGTTGTTTTACATGGCCAAACACTGGCGAACCCTCACAATGTTTTGTGCAGAATATTTAATACTGGTATAATGCTAAAGTTTGAATTATGAGAAATTAATATTCAAGTCATTATAACATAACCGATTTCCAAGAGCTGTAAAACAAGGCCAAATATTCTAGGCATTAAGAGATTTAAAGGCATTGAACTGAAGGCACTCACTTTAGGTATTGCCTGAGAAGCACAGAATTTACTTTCTAAAGCCCTCTGCAAGCAGCAGTTGAGTGATAAAAGTAAGAGATCCCTTACCCCAATCCTGTTCATACAAGGCTTGGGAAAGGCACCATGATTCACTTATTGGCATGTGTGGATGCACAAAAATAAGATGCTTAGTGAGATTTTAACACAATACTTTCATTATTACAGAATGAAAAGCTGCAATAATAATCTGACATATGAACTGAACTGTTATGGTTTTATTTCATTTAGTTTCAAAGTTTAGCATTCCAAGCATGTTTTATTATATATATTTATTACAAGACTTGTTGCAATGACTTGTCCATCACATTTGCACACTGGTAATGCAATCCTACCTACTGACTCACAAAAATCAAAACAAGTAGGTATGTGTTGTGTCTCTCAACAACTTAGAAACACAAGCATATCAAATGTTACCTATCCTTAATATTAAATAGATGCAATAACTCTGTAAAGTATTATCTAACATTTTATATCAAAACAAAAAAATTGTAAACGATAACATTTTGCATTCCTTTCTGTTTATCTGCCATTTCCCCCACAATTAACTATTTCTGTTTAACAAAGGAGAAGAGAAATGCTAAGTCTGGAGGTAGGATGTTGGATGTGTGGAGTGACTAAGAACATAGAAAATACAGGCATAAAACTGTACGGCTGCAAATTTGAGTCATCCTCATGGCTGCACATTATCTCTTCCCATGAGCAATTTCTACTGCACTGTCAACACTGGTTAACAAACCATAATTACTTTGTAAACCTGAGTCGAAAATCATGGCTTGAAGTGGTTGCAATCCATAGTTATAGAAATATGATCTGGCATTACCCGGGGTGGCCAACAGGTAGATCACTGGACATCTGTGGTTGATCACTGGCTCCCTCCCACAGAAACTCAACAACTTTGAGCTGAACCCCCCAAAAAACGGGGGTAGATCACTACCAGATTTTAATTCAGAAAGTAGATCTCAGCCTCTTGGGAGTTGGCCACCCCTGGTTACCTATAGCTTTAGTGCACATATAATGCATAACCATGGTTAACACTGGGAAGAGAAGGGAAGAGGTAAAGTGCTCTGGATGGAGATTGCAAGAAAGTGCATTCATAAGGCTGCTTCCAAATATGAAAAACATGGCTTGTAGATAGTCTGCACCAGGTCTCAAAAGACAGATCCTCCCGTTGTCCCCACATTCAGTGTCTACATCATGCTTAATACCGGGAAGAAATTCTTCATTTAGGCCAGACTAACTAACAGGAATGGAGTGTCTCTTTTTCATAGCATGTGACTTCATGCTTAAGCTATTGGTATGACTACTACTGAATGCCAAGAGTTGTAGCTGCTGCGTGGAACTTAGAAGTAAGATGGCTCCTCATCACAGGACTTGCTGTCAAACTTACTGATCTAACTCCTTCAACTTGTAAGGCACTGCAGAAGCACATTATTCAAAATGAAGTGGCTTAAATCTATGTGGAGCATCCTAGCCAGCTTTGATTCCATGATAGGGTTGAGCATTTCCCCCCTAACATGTTTATGTTATAAATGAGGAATGATGGAACTGTTTTGTCTGCCAACTTATTGCCTCTTTCATTTCCGTACAAGCAATTAAGGAAGGAGTAGAGCAAGGATGGCTGCAGGTTTCCACCAAGTTCCACAAGGCACCATCACTACCATTAGTCAAACAGTGTTGTTAATTTTGATGGGTCAGGGAAATGGGAAAGTGTTAGTGTTGCGACAGTTAGTGACAAAGTGCAAACAAATGATGCCAAAGAAATGTTTCCTGCTTGGATAAGGAACAATCACCACAACTTCTTACCAGCTTTTTCAGACTTTTCCTTCTGTTCTTTTAACTCTTCACCTTGCTTAACCACCTGCTTGACGCGAGTACGCAACTGGGCAATTTCTTCCTCCTTCATTTCCAATGTTTCATGCATTTGCCGTTTGGTTTCTGCTATTACCATGCCCTATAAAATGGGTAATTACAGGTAAGAAGGGTGCTGTGTGAATACATACATACACACACTCAGAAACAAGACATAGTTATTGTTATGCAACTTCCCCACCTCTTTGTTGCATTAGAAGAAAGTGCAGAAGCATTGTGTCAGGGAACTGCCATCAGTGCCGGAGGGAGAGAGCAAAATCCAGAGGGATTCCAGAGAGCGTCCCGGGATTGGGAGAGGCAGCCCATCTTCTGGGGAAGAGAATCAGCGTAGCACCAGTGGAGAAGGGGGGCAGACGGGGGAAGTGGCGAGGCGGTCCCAGGACTCCTTGCCGGGGACCAGCGGGGAGAGTAGAGGTCCTCCGCTGCCTAAGCCCTCCTTGCGCAGAAGGCATTCGCGCAGAGAGAGTAGGAGGAGACTAGGCGTCAAAGAACTTCTTTGCTGGAAGAAGTTTAAGAAACGCCCACTGACGGATTCTGCCAGCGATTGAGACAGCCACGGGTGAGTGGCTATCCGGACAGAAAAGGTTCACTCAGGCAACCCAGCCAGGTGTTTGCACCGGCTTACGCACGAGCAACCCCTAGAACCACTACACATTGTGAGGAAGAAAACACTACCAAGTACTGGACAAATACATAGCGACTATAACCAAGAGGTTATATCTCCAATCTGGAGATTACTGGTGGAACTTAAAAAACCAACAACCCTCAGACTCTGATTATGTGCATGCACAGCCCCACATCTATGACAAGTCAAAGACCATTAAGAAGAGCAACAGCAGGCTTAGATATGGACTTTGCTCTTCCCAGCAGAAGAGAAGAGATGCAATCTGTTCTGGAGGTTTCCTGTTGGAACAGTCTCTAGACCAGTGCTGGAGGTGACAGCTGCAGGGGGAGAAGGGGACCAGCAAAAGTTACCTCCCCTTCCTTCCAAGAAAAGGATTCTGCTGCTGGATCTAAAGCCTTCTGTGGATGGGAGGAGTTGCTCTGGTCACAGAAAAAGTCTGGATCCAGTTCTCTCTCTCTCTTTTGCTCCCTCATATATCCTCATTTTAGCAATTATTTTCAAGACAGTTGACAAAATAAATTACAGTGGTACCTCGGGTTACATACGCTTCAGGTTACATACGCTTCAGGTTACACACTCCACTAAGCCAGAAATAGTGCTTCAGGTTAAGAACTTTGCTTCAGGATCAGAACAGAAATCGTGCTCCAGCGGCGCAGCGGGAGGCCCCATTAGCTAAAGTGGTGCTTCAGGTTAAGAGCAGTTTCAGGTTAAGAATGGACCTCCGGAACGAATTAAGTACTTAACCCGAGGTACCACTGTACATGCAATTTTTATGCCTGAATTAGCACTATTCGTACAATACTTCAGGAATTTTAAAATAATCTATACTGCTTACTTTATCTTGCTCTAGCTGTTCTATCAAGTTCTTGGCGTCACGTAACTGAGTGATCAGCTTGGTCTTCTCAGCCATATGAAGATCCTAGGAGACAGGTTAAAATATAAGCAGTGTACCTACCTTGCAAGAACTCTCTTCCCCTCACCCACCAAAGCTTCACATTTGAGTACAGGGAACGACCATTTTGCATGTGACTGCTGATGCACACACCACTTTCAGCCCGGGAAGGGGATGAAACGGCGCAGGCTTACCCTGCCAACGCATGCAATGACCTGGAAAGCAATCCCCATGGAAACAAGGAGTAGCTTGTATTTCTTACTTGAATATATACTATCATTCAGCTCCCCACTGGAAAACATCAACACACACAACTCTGGGAATCCTCTGCATTAAGATACCTTTTGCTCCTTATAAATGCTGGTTATATAGGGAGGAGGCTGAAAATATTTGTTTCTTTGTTGAAGTTATACTCATATCAGACATTACAGACTTTGAGGGTATAAGCTTTGCTTAAAACATTTATACCATTCTCTTTGCCCAAAAAGGCTCCTAGAGTTTCTTAAGGAATAATGTGGAGGCTAGTATAAAACTCACTTAAAATTTTAATTTTCAGGCACACACTAGATTAAAAATAAAATAAAGAGTAAAATACGTCCAGTTCCTCCTATTGTTAACAAGGACTACAGCCTTGCTCCCAACTGTGCATGAAATATCTCACTCTGCTGAACATTTAAAGGACCATGTTTCCCCTTTCGGAATAAAAACATCACTGCATGCTTATACAAAAATTTAAAAAAACCAACAAACCTACTTTGAATTCTAATTAAGTTAGGTTAATAAGCACACACAGTCAGAAATGTGCAATTTAAGATATGCAGTTCTGGAAGGTTCTGACATATAGTCTACATCTTTTATTATTATTATTCCATTTAATAGAATCGAAACCATGTCTTGCCCTTACCTTGGGCATTCAGGAATTTTACAACATGTTTCAGGATGTGACATCTGGCATCGTTTGCTTTATCAGTTAAGCAAATAATTTTTTGACCTTGTGTGAATTGATACACAAAGTCATTTTTCAGTACCTTTATTTTCTCTAGTTCCTGAAGTCTCTCATCCAGTTGTTCCTGAAGTGCCTCTTTTTCATTGGTTAGCTGTACCGAGCGCTCTTTATATGAGCGGATTGTTTCTTTACATCGATGGAGCAAGTTCTCTTGACGTTTCACTCGCTGAGTAAGAGCTTCTAGTGTTTTAGCAGAATCCCCATCACCACCTACATCAAACAGAAAATTATGTTTGGGCAATATAATTGCCTGGACAAAAAATGCTTGAATACCATGACTGAAGAAAGGTGTGAGGTAAGTAATCCCCGGGGCGGGGTGAGCTCCTGTCGTTCGGTCCCAGCTCCTGCCCACCTAGCAGTTCGAAAGCACCCCTAAGTGCAAGTAGATAAATAGGTACCGCTTTATAGCGGGAAGGTAAACGGCGTTTCCGTGTGTGGCACTGGTGCTGGCTCACCAGTGCAGCTTCGTCACGCTGGCAACGTGACCTGGAAGTGTCTTTGGACGGCGCCGGCTCCCGGCCTCTTAAGTGAGATGAGCGCACAACCCTAGAGTCGGTCACGACTGGCCCGTATGGGCAGGGGTACCTTTACCTTTTTTAAGTAAAGTTTATATCCAAAATAGCACTAAGTCATTGATTCCGTTACTGCAATAATTTCCGCTTGCACAACAGAACTCCCCACTCTCCTTCGCCCATATTTTCCCTAAATCTTGTCTGAAGGTTCTTCCTGCCCTCTGGAGCAGATTTGGGGTTGCCGGAATACATAAAACAACCTTGCCTTCGATAGGAGAAATTTTAAAAAGAACAAAGTGGGGGGGGGGGAGAAGCCAGCAAAGCAAACCCCTGTCATGTAACTGAAAGGGAATTTGCAGAGCTCTGATAAGCACATCTTACCTTGGCAACATCTTGCCTCTCCTCCCAGAGAGAAAGGGGTGCATGCAGGAGGAAAAGGAATTTCTCTTGTACAAGCATAAATTCTAATGGAACAAGGGCACTGGATACTGGCCAATGTGAACTAAATAAATGAAGTATACTATTGTACTGCTCTCATAGTAACATCGTCTGGAAGTACTTAAAATCCCCTGCATGTTCAATAAGAGATCTTAACATCAATATTTTATCAACAATCTAAAATGCAGCTGTAAAGCCCTATCAACACTGAACTGGAAATCTGTATTAGGAAGCATATTCAACAGAACTTGATGAGATGAAAGCACAAGATTGTTAGTATCTTATTTTCAAGATATTTACACTCTTTTTCTACTACACCAACCTACCAGGACTCTCTGGTTGCACAGCATTCTCTGTGTTTAAATCTTTTGTTGGACTCTGGACTTCTGCTTGAGTCTGAACATTTGGATCAGGCAACTCAATACTTATTTGGCCATTTTGCAATCGTTGTTTCAGTAATGATACCTGCAAAAACAACAAAGTAATATAATTGTTTATCCAGCTACTGTCTGACATTTCTTAACGTTCACTTGGCTGCTGACAGGTGAACTACAGCATAATGTCAGACTTCTGAAAAGCTGCTGGCCCATTGCAGGCATATTGCAGAGTGAGACAGAAGCAGGCAGAGGAGGAAGACAAGGTCAGGTGGGAGGGGCCCCCAGGTGAGACACAGAGGAACAACTCTAAGGGGAGTGACAGGAGGTAGCACTGGGTGCAGGAGGTATCTGACTAGAGGTGTGATGTCACAGGGATGGAACACTCCTCTGTCAACCTGCTTGGTCCCTCCCCTGGATCCAATTCTCCACCCCTTCCCCTGGGTCAGGCAATTTTTGGGGTCCCAAATTTCACCTCTACCATCCTGCTAGGACTCTCCTAGTGACATCTAGCTCCAACTCCTCCCATTCCTCCCCAAGATCCCCTCCATGAGATCTGCACAACGCTTATAACAGTAAGATTCTGATATGTTTAAAATCTGAAGGACAATTACATTCCCAACTATGCATTCGTCCAGGTAGTGTAAATTTTGGTCCAAAATGCAGACCAAGAAGAAGTTTTCTCCATCCTCAATTTTTCCTCTCTCCTGAACCCATCAACAAAACAATTGGGAAACTGACTTAGAAAAAATGAAACAGATAATTTAGACAGAATGAAAGAGTATGCTATCTCTTGGCAAAGCTAGTACACTCAGTGTGTAAGAAAAGACAACTAACTGTTCTTCAAGGTACTTTGGAAATGTCTCTCTTGATCAAATATAGATACCTGAGTCTGCAGGACACTGATGAGTTGATCCTTTTCTTCTAAAGATGCATCGAACTCTTCCTGAAGATGTTTTTTGGCCTGTTGATCCATCTGGAGTTCCTTAAATAGAACATACATTTTGCAAATATTTCTAATTGATAATAATAAAACCGCTTAATCAGGGGGCTATCCCTACATTGTAAGAAGGGTCGTCAAGCACACCATTCAGTCAGGGAGATTTCCTGTAGTGTCCCACAGGGCTCCATCTTGTCCCCCATGCTATTCAATAACTATATGCAACTGCTGTGTGTTGAAATCAGATTTGGAGTGAATTGTCACCAATACACAGATAACACTCAAGTCTCTCTGTTTGTTCTACTTTGTTCTACACCTACCTGGGAGAGGCAGGTATTAAACCCGTGCTTGGAGATCGTGATGGGCTGGATGTTGGCTGAATAACTGAAAATGAATTCTGCAAAAACAGAGGTCTGATGTGTTCTAAAGTCTCAAGTCCAGGAGGTTGCCTTTTCTGGACAGGGTTGCACTCCCCTGGAACAATTAGATCTATAGCTTGGGGGCATTCCTGGATCTAGCATTGCCATTGGAGGTTCAGGTGATCTCAGTAGCTAGAAGTGCTTTTTCCAGCTATGTCTAGTTTGCCAGCTATGTCTCCTTTTGGACAGAGATCTTGCCACATACTCCATGCTCTGATAACTTCAAGACTGGATTACTGCTTCTACCTGGGGCTGCCCTTGAAGATGACATGGAAAGTTCAGCTGATCTGAAATATGCAACAGCCAGATTACTGGCTGAGGTTCAATTTAGAACTCATATAAAGCAGCTTCACTGGTTGCCTGTTTCCAGGCCCAATTCAAGGTGTTCACATTAGAGTTTCAAGGCCTAAACAACTCAGGCCCAAGTATGGTTGAAGGTCTGGTAAGAAATTGAAATGATGATGTTAGTTGACAACCAATGCCGGAATGACTCTACTATCAACAACTGGTTTTCATTTCATTTTGTTTTTCGTGAATGACCACTGTTCATATTGTAATTATCACTGCAAATTTCTGCATTTATTTCCTTCTGACTTCACTGTTTACAATCCCCTCCCAGATAATGTGTATAGGTAATGATTTTCTTGTGACAAATTCATGACTGCAGCAGCTATTAAGATTTTTGCTACTCAAACAGTGGAGAGATGCGAAGCAGCTCATACTAATTCCTAATGAAGTTCATAGAGCAACATTAAGCACCCTTTTAACTCTCTTTTTAACAGCCCCATGCCACCTGTTAATTCCTGCATAGCGAGCCGATGGTAAACGCACAAGAGCTAAAAAAAAACTAACAACAACACATGGCTAGGCCAATTTTTTCTGTGGCCAGTTGACAAGACTGTAGAGAAATCTTTTTCAGCATTCTGAAAATGTGATGAACAGAATAGCTAGAAGGTCTAGCTTCTTGCTGTTTGCTCATAAAACGTGAGTGTTTATAGAAAGAAATGCTATGGATTCTATGCTTAAAAACCATGTTATAATATTAAGTCACTATTTGCAAAATATACACATACCCGAATTAACACTCCACATGGCAAAAAAGAGGGCCAATTTCTTGTAATCCAAAAAGGAGGTTTAAAAGGCATAAATACTGCTGCACAGAACAGCTATACATGCTTCCACAAGGATTGCTGAACAGAATTAGGTAAGGCCTTGGCAATATCTGAAGACATCTTGTATTTGCCAAGTCATCTCCTAAAATCATTTGTCTTATTGTTGATCTAAACACATCAGCCACCTAAAATTACCCCAGACCAGATTGGTTAACATGTGCACACTTCATGACCTTAGGAGTTCACTGATGCTATGGTAACCTGGTTGAACATATCCAGGCGGAACCCAGTGACATCACTGTGACAGTTTGCATGCAGAATGTGTCATACTAGTTCTTCAGATTATATCCTGAAGTCAACCAATACCTAGGAATATTGACAACTGCTGTGGTATTCTTTTCTATGTAGTGACTGATGTCACTGTCCCTCTTTAAACACATTGCTCATTATTTTGATTTCTAAATATCCTGAACTATAAACATCTACATTTATTATAGTTAAGTCAAATGATGCCGCAGCTTCACTGGAACAGAGCAAAGTGTTCAGGGAATGGAGAGTCCCCTGCTGTTTTGAGTAAGTGTTCATTTGCTCCCTCAAACAAACAGAAAATCCCAGCTCATTGCAATGTTACCTGATAAAATCAAATAACCAGTGTTCATGGACTTTTATTCTCTATCTTAGGTATCTATTCTCCATTACACACTCATCAATTTTAACAACGTAAAGTGACACTAACAATTTTGCAAACACTTTGGGATATGAATGAGCAAAGCTAGCATTAACTTTACTACTTTTATTTCACATTTATTAAGCAGTAACAGAACACATTCTTTAAGGAATGGTTCTTCAGTTGGTAGAAAACACAATTGAAAGTGGATTTATTTACATGCATTTGCAAGAAGTAATGCTGCAAATCCTGCAGCACTCACAAGTAATAAAGGTAAAGGGACCCCTGACCCTTAGGTCCAGTCGCGGACGAATCTGGGGTTGCGGCACTCATCTCACTTTACTGGCCAAGGGAGCCAGCATACAGCTTCCGGGTCATGTGGCCAGCATGACTAAGCTGCTTCTGGCGAACCAGAGCAGCGCACAGAAATGCCGTTTACCTTCCTGCCGGAGCGGTACTTATTTATCTACTTGCACTTTGACATGCTTTCGAACGGCTAGGTTGGCAGGAGCAGGGATTGAGCAATGGGAGCTCACCCCATCATGGGGATTCGAACCGCCAACCTTCTGATCAGCAAGCCCTAGGCTCTGTGGTTCGTCCCAATAAATTAGCGGGCTTTAGTGTACAAAATGATGTGCTAGAACACTTTAACTTTATTAAGCAGCTGCAAATAATGTTTGTACAGTAGAACAGAGATTTGCAACTTAATTTACATAACAGAAAAATGAATAGAAGTAGGCAAGTAACTCAAGGATTTCTGGCTTTGCAGTATTTGTAGAATCTGAGGATTGTATCTCAGCTGATGCTAAGTCTCCCATCCACAAAAAGGAGGAGGAAGCATTTTTCAGCTCTTGCCCCTTCCCTAGTACACCTCTAGGAAACTGCTTCCCTACCCATTCTGCTAACTGAAAACTTACTGTCAAAATCAGCGACACCATTGGCGATAACCCTAACGCTGCAAAGCAGGGGCGGCTAACCCGTGGCCCTTCAGTTGCTGTAGGACTATAACTCCCATCATCCCTGATAACTGGCCATAAAACCAGTATTGGTAGTGGGGAGTAATTAAGTAAATGGTTCTTTGAATGAACATTAATTGTGAAAATGGCAAGACGTACAATCTAGGGAATACATCTGAAGAAACAAGGAAAACGTATTTCAAGATCCCTTTCCTTATGGCTGTAAGTTCTGTCTCCTGGCAATTAATTTGGGAGATCATGTTATAATCCCCCCCCCAAATGCATAATACTCTAACTAGACTTGGCTAAACAACTGTATATATGACCTTAAGAAGACCACCACTAAACAGTTTTTATATTGCGATACTACCTTTGAAAACAGTAACTAGATTATTTGCACCTAAAAAAAAAGCTTATTTGAAGCCAGGCCTGCACTGTTATACTTTAATTTTAGATCTATATATTACTTACCTTATGAAAGATTGATTGTTTTCATATTGATCTTATTCAGTGAATGGCCTTGTCATTGTGGTTTCACTATTTTACACATTTTCTATACCAATATCATCAATATTTGCTTTGCTTTGCTTTTACAAAGTATATGTTTTAGTTAATATAATATACCAATATTAGTTATTGTTTTGATTGCCTCAATTATTATTCTATTGTGTGTGCTAAATTTTTCAGAAAGTGTCCATTCACTGAGAATTACTGCTAAGATATTAGAAAAGATATTTGCTTTTCGTAAAATCTTCATAAGGCCTATGCTGACTACTGGAATACACTTTATTATTGCGTTTTATTACTGTCACATAGCTAATCATGTAAGCTCAATTCTCAGATTTTTTGTTGTAAGATTACATGCACAACTGGAATTAAGTATTACCTCCCGCAGTTCACCAATTCTGCGAAGTGCTTTATCCTGACTCTGGCTCAATATTCCCTAAAAACAATCAGAGAAAGGTGATTTTTGAAATATTGAATACATAAAAGCTACACGTGAGTAACAATTTCTGCTTTGCGTTGCCACTACAAATCAAGCTCCAGTTCAAGAGCTATATTTCACCTAAAATACAAATCTGAAATGTCCAGACATAAATTAAGCACAAAGCAGTTTGTACTTCCTTAAACTTAAGGAATTAATTTCCTTATCCCTCCAACATTTCCCTCCTTGGCAATCCTTGCTCCAGATTAATTTTGTGCTATCTCCTTTAATTCCCGAAGACTGCAAGCTTTGCAAAATATTGTTCCTATTAACAATGTTCCTAAAACAGACAAGCACATTACTGCAATTCTAATTCCCACTTGTCTTTGTCATCACTGTTCTGCCTCTGGTCAGGAGGTTTTTGTGATAGTCATGATCAGTGGCAAAATAATTTTAGGCCAGAAATAACAGCCTTTAGGGGTGCAGGGAATCTAGTTTTCAGGTAGGCTTACTGGAGCTTGACTGAAGGAGACTCCAGGGAAACGGTCATATCAGGGGAAAGGAATCCATATTTAAAGACTCTCTGTTGCATACTGGGCACAATTAAAAGTTACATCCTTAAAAGTTTCACCGGGCAAAGAAAAGGCTATAAAAAATGTTCAGGTAATATCCAGAGTCTTTTTTTCTTACCTGCAGCTTTTTCTTTTCTCTTTGCACAGCTTGATAGGCAGTGACCAGCTGAAAAGCATAAAACACAGCTGACAATGAAGAAGTATCTGAAGAAGTGTCTATACAAACTGTTTACTGTGAAACCCAATGTGCTTTAGCCAGGTTATTGAGCTTTATTGTTTCTCACCCCCTATGAAAATGTTCACCACCACATTTTGAATTTACTATACTATAATACAGTGGTACCTCGGGTTAAGTACTTAATTCGTTCCGGAGGTCCATTCTTAACCTGAAACTGTTCTTAACCTGAAGCACCACTTTAGCTAATGGGGCCTCCCGCTGCCGCCGCGCCACCGGAGCATAATTTCTGTTCTCATCCTGAAGCAAAGTTCTTAACCCGAGGTACTATTTCTGGGTTAGTGGAGTCTGTAACATGAAGCGTATGTAACCCGAGGTACCACTGTATACATAAAAGCACACTTTAGGCGTAGCTATTGCAGCACAGATATGTGTGTTCCAATTCATGCTATTTTTAAATACAATTCCCAAATAATTGAAATGTTTAACTTCTTGTATTAGATATCCATTATCCATTTTTTTTGGGTTCCCTCTCTTTGTAAATTGCATAATTTTTGTTCTATCATAGTTAATTTTGAGGTTATAAATAGAGCAAAAGTTTGAGAAACTCTTAAATAATTTTTTTAAACCCAAAGAGGAAAGTGAGATAATTACCGCATCATCTGCATAAAGTGGGATATTGTTTAAATAAGGGATATTATTGGTTACATTCCGAAGAAATAATGGGAGGTCAGATAAAAAGAGATTAAATAGGGTAGGGGCCAAGATACAGCCTTGCCTAACTCCTCAGTTATTCAGGATTGGACCTGCAAGTCTACCATCTTTTGAGACTTTAACATATATTTGGTTACTGGAGTGTAAACTTCATCAAAGTACACCCTAAACCTGCTTCAGAGGGTTGAGGGACAGGGAGGGCAAAGGGAGGATGCGGGGGGTGGGGAAAATGCCTTAAATTTCTGTTAACAGATGCTTGTTTCACCTTCAGTTAGTTCTTCCCACATTAGTTTTTCACATGGCTCACTAAAAAACTCAAGTATGTTCCTACCTCTGAGTATTTCCCTCTGTAGCTGCCTAAACTTCGTTCCATCCTGCGCAACCGTTGCAGCAGCTGTTCCTTGGGGAGGCTGTCTACATTTCCGGGCAATTCTTCTGCTTCACTTTCCACATCAGATGGTGGATCAAACGTGGGACCAGGAGAATCCAAGTCCAGTTTGTTCAGGGAATCTCTTGAAGAAGTCCGTACTAAAGACTCTTTAGAAGAGGATCGGAACAAAGTTTCCTTTAAGGGGCTTCGAAACAATGATTCCATCGAAGGAACTCGAATCTGAATCTTCTGTGCAAAAGACTGGACATCACTAGGCTGTAAATACACAAGACATTGCCTGAGTTTCTAGACCACATTTTCTTAGCACACACCAAACAAAACATAATGGGACACATGTAAAGGGTTACACTGCCTGTATAAATTTACTTCCAAAAGTAAATCATTTTCTTTGATGCTTATGAAGTACAAGTAATCCATCAGTGTATGAATAAATTTTGATTGATTTATCTAACAAACAGATCATTTCCAGAAGTGGTAAAATATAGTTTATATTGAACTGGGCAAGTTTGATGAGACAGTAAAATATAAGAAGCATAAAAATAATGTATTTCCTAAGTCACTATGAAGCTCAAGCATCAAACTATTTGGCTGCCTCTGCTTTAGCATCAAGACATTACAGACACAAACTAAAAGTTAGTCAATAGCTACAAAATAAAATAAAATATATATTGTATGCTACATACCTGTGGGGAAGATGTTCACTTTCATTATTATTAGTGCTGGGTGTTGCTTGCTTAGATACATTCTAAAAGTTGAAAAAATAAACATTTCAAGAAAAAAATTAAAACACAATGTCCTAAGTAGCAATTTTGCAGTATATAAATAATACACATGGCAATCTACTTTTTTTTTAGTAAATTAGTACTTTTACTTTGCAACTGCTTATTATGATGCATTCATGCAAATTGAAACAAGCATATAAACCAGAAAGTGTCCCATAATACAGAACTATAAAGCAATTGTGCTTACATGAATTAGCACAACAATGAAAAATTATAGAGAATTTATCATAAGATGTATTCCTTAAGAAGAATCTCAAAAGCTAATTGACAAGCAAGAGGTCTAGTTCCGATTCTGAGGTCTCCTGAATGACCAGCAAAATCCCTACATGAAAACATTCTACTGCATACAACTTTGGATTATTATCATTCCCTATACAAGTCTTCAGAGATGGCAGGGCAGAACTAAATGGGGGGAAATAAAGTTTGCTGATAACAACATCAGTCTTATATACACAAAAATCCCATTAAAATAACTATGACAATTAGTACTTACACCTTTTGAATGTTGTAATTTCAACCATTTCTTTGGAAAATGCACTTTTAGGGTGAAAAGATATTTCAAAATAAAGCTATTAATGTGATTGCTCTCAAATCCAAACTTATTTTACAGAGATTGTTACAAGTTGCACAGCATTCTTCAAATATAAAAATGTTTACTTAGTATAATGAACATTTAGCATAAACTATGCAATGTTTTTAGTACTTCCTAATACTGTACTACATTTTGCTTAACCATACTAGCCAAGATCCAAAAAACTATTTTAGGTACGTCCAACAGCTTTTGGAATTTTTCTCTTTTATTTGACTTCCACCTATCTCACAATTTGCTCTGCAAAGCCTCCTCGGGTTCAACAGCGTTTGATACAAGGCATGGGGGCTGCTATTTACAGAGCACCAGTCCAATGCCCTCTTCTGCTTTAAACTCACTAAGCCCACACATTAAAAAATATTATATTGTCAGCAAAATAAAACAAAAAGGAATATATTGAAAATCAGAAGCATATTCAGTTTAATATCAAGTGCATTTTAGACCTCTCAGGTCCTTCATCAGAAGTGCAGTCCTTGGTTATACTGTCTCTACTGTCCTTTTATTTTGCTTCTTGCCCCACCCCATTTGTCTTTTTCCAGACAAACTACAAGCTGTAGCCAGGGTTTGTTCTTTTATCTGAGTGAGGAAAACAATAAACCTGGGTTTGGATGTGATGCTAAGCCAAACCATGGCTTTGCGTAGCACAGCAGTAGGAGGACCACAGGAGGAACGGACATGCTGCAATTTCTGCTATAAATACTCACATGCTCACACCATCATACTCAGCCATGGTCTGGCTTAGTGTTAAGTGTGAACTAGCCAATGGGAGCAATCCAGTAGGTTGGTCTCCTATCCAAGACTAACAAAAAATGAAAGACAGCTTTTATCACTAAGATCTGAGAGAAGTATCTGCCTGGAACCACAACACTAAGATCAGATATAAGCCTATGGCTGCTCTTCAAAAAGGATTAGCCCAGATTTTAGCACTGTTAAGACTATAACAGATAAGTTTGTGGTGCTACCTTTTATTATCGGAGAAGCAAATTTTGTCTCATCTTAGTGCTGTGGGATCACAGCATTAAGATCAGAAATAAGCTCCTGCTTGCTCCCACAGCTTGGATTTTGGATCACCGGATGTCACATAACATCAGGTAATTGACAGATGGGCAGCCTCTTCCTTCTGTCAATGTGGTCAGCTGAGGGTGAACTGGTTCTGGATTCGGTCTGCCAGCTGGATCATCTTCCTTGTCCCTGCCTTATCGTAGTGTGTTCTCAAAAAGTGCCAGCGGGGTTCTATTATTCAACACTAATTCAAAACTTACCCAGAACATAAAGCAATGAGCAACTCACTGAGGTGTAATCAATGCTACCCGCTTGCTTCAGGACTTTTGTGCATAAACAACGGCATTCTCATACTGAATCAGTCTGCCCTAAACCAACTTACTAGTAGATTTGCAAAGGCAGCAGCAGAGGGGAAGTAAGTGCCACTCCAAACAAGTAGCTCATCTCATTACCAACCACTGCTGGACCCTTGTGATTATTTAAAGGCACTTCTCACATACAAATTGTAACTCAATTGAACTGGAAATTAAAATAAGGCTATAATCCTAAACATGCTTACTTAAACAACTCTGTCAAATATAATGGTACTTACATCAGAGAAAATCCATTTAGGTTGGGATAATTATGTAATTTAAGAAATCTAAATATGTGGAACGAAGCTCTCTCTCTCACACTCACACACACCGTCTGCATGAACTTTGCTTCCTTTGTGCCCCAGCCAATACTTGTTTCCAGTGCCATCTAGGCTGCATAGTTAACTTAGTCCCAGATAGATGCAAGAACTTTAATACAAAAAGGAGCTTATAGATTTCATAGTATCAATGGATGTCCCTGGGAGAACGTAATACAGAGTCTACTTACAATTATAAACATTTTTTAAAAAAAATTAAACTCTCTGCTGCAGGTGACACCAGCTCAACAATGAAAAGGAAAAGCAACCTATGGGAAGCATTTCTCTATTATATATACTTCATTCCAACAGTATGCAAATACTGTGGATGCTATGTCCAAATGCCATCATAGTGCATTCTTTTAAGCAATTTGAAGTTAAGTTATAAGAAGGCAAGCTGGCCTGGAATACCAAACCTAATTTTGGCCTCATCTGCTTGTTCTAATTGTATGGGGCACCAACTGAAGATGGTGACATAAGGATCGCGGTGGAATGATTAATTTCCAAGGGAAGTTTCTATTCTCAGTCACCCATCATTTCTAACAGGGTCAAAAAAGAAAATGGAACAAATTAGCAAAAGGAACCCTTTGTACATCAGGGAGCAACAATTCCATTTCTCATGTTCTTACTCTTCATCCTCCTGCTTGTCCTCATTCTGTAACCTCTCTCTGAGCAAGTGCAAAACATTATTCTTCAGAAAACTAGAACTAGAAAATAATTGTTCCTCAATACTCTCAAGGATACCAGGCAATTTTTTTTTAAAAAAAGATCAGGTCTGTTACTATAAAGAAAAAGGAGATGGCAAAGCTTTTTAAAAAATTAAAGGAACCACACACTAAAATTATCACCGAAACTACAAAGGTATTTTGTGATTAATGCCTGAAAGCAAAGCAATGTTAATTTATATGTTAAATTAAGCCAATGTTATCATATAACTTGGTTTGCTTAACTCTCGATTAAGCAAAAATATGCCCTCAATTTTAGTGCTGGGTTAGCAATACGGCACTCGGTATGCTTTAGTGAGACTAGAAACCAAAAGAAGCACTGGTTTTTCCCTATAATATCCTCTTGTCCAAGTCAGGGTGTCACTAAGAGGGAGAGAACAGGGGCAGGGACTCACCACACTTTCACTCTGTGGCTTATGTCGTTTGGTGGGATCCAAAGCAAAGACAGTATACTCAGAAAGAAAAGCAGGCTCTGATATCATCCCAGCTAGCAGCTGTGTCATTCATTGCAAAAAGCAAGGAAATGAAAAATAAAACATGGTAATAAGGTAAAGGGAAGGAACACAAAAGCATGTTGCAGTTTGAATTCAGAAATGTATGTGCACAATGCTTACAAAAACTGCAAAAGTATGTATCACTAGCACCAAGGAAAGTTACTGAGTAGGACACACTGAAAGTGGAACAGAGCACTCAAACCAGCCAAGATGTATGCATGTATACAGACATGAGAGAATAAACAACAGAAACTGATAAGCCTTATTTTAGAGTTTTTAAAATGAAAAGAATTGTGTATTGTCAAGTATCACCTGCATATTTAAGCATCATCTACATATATGTGCATGCTCACAATATTTACAAGTCAATACTTAATGGGAAAGAGCTTTGGATGAGAGACTACCACAGCAATAGTCTAAATTATGATTCCAAGAATTCACTAATTATCATCCTTGTTTTAGGAATGTACGACGAGCAAAGATCTTAATTTGTAACATGCACTACCCAATGTATTTTATTCCACTCCAAATTATTTAAATGAATGATGACAGCAGTATAAGCATATACATATCAACAGCAGAGAAAAGAGGGAAAGCCTCACATGACATAATAATCGCAGGATTTTTCCTTTACTTCTCTAAGCTAGTAAAGTAAGTTGTAAACAAACCTTTCAACTATAATATACACAATAACTCAGGAATTATTTTTAAAGTGCATGACATTAGTAAAGGTAAAGGTAAAGGTACCCCTGCCCATACGGGCCAGTCTTGACAGACTCTAGGGTTGTGCGCCCATCTCACTCTATAGGCCGGGGGCCAGCGCTGTCCGCAGACACTTCCGGGTCACGTGGCCAGCGTGACAAGCTGCATCTGGCAAGCCAGCGCAGCACACGGAACGCCATTTACCTTCCCGCTGGTAAGCGGTCCCTATTTATCTACTTGCACCCGGGGGTGCTTTCGAACTGCTAGGTTGGCAGGCGCTGGGACTGAGCGACAGGAGCGCACCCCGTCGCGGGGATTCGAACCGCCGACCTTTCGATCGGCAAGTCCTAGGCGCTGAGGCTTTAACCCACAGCGCCACCCGCGTCCCCTAGCGCCACCAGCTTTCAACAACCTAGCACCTTCCAGATTTGAACTGCAACTCCTGCCAGCCTCAGACAGCACATCTGTTTGGGGCAGGTGGTAGCACAAGGCATCCGAAGAGCACCAGGCTGGCAAAGGCTATTCTAAACCACTCTGGCTATAAGCATCAAGGCTGAATGCACTAACAGATTATGTGTAATCATGCTGAATAGTAAATTCAGGCTGACCCCTGCTCTGTGCATTATTCGCCAAAAGAAATAATATGTCAAGAAGAATAGTGGGTTGCAGAAAAGATGGCAATGTGTCATATGCCAAATTAATACAGACTTAACTAAAGTCTGCTTGCTAACTAAATCTGATAGTATCAGACTGCTAGTCACAAAACTGATAAACTGACTCTGCTCTAACTAGCAAAAGCTGTCCTTTGCTCTATTCACTAATAATTATTCAAAATCAAGTGTATGAAAGTAAGGTTTGGCAACCTGACTGTCACTCTACAAATGAACAGGAATAAAGGCAGGATAAACAGCAGCCCATGTAAGAAATGAGGATTCTTCCTCAAACGTGCACACACTGATCAATCCTAAATCTCCCCCATTCTGTTGCATCCTCCCCTCCAGTGGAGGACTGTAAAGAAAAGAGAATTAGGTAAAAATTGATTTGCTCCCTTGTCTCAACACCCTTCTCTGTCCCTCTTCTCTAACTCTTCTAAATGTGAAAACGTGACTAAGAAAATGTGCAACAGTAAGTGGATTGCACACTTGCACACTACATTCTTTCCCAGCTTCCATCCTGGCCCCTAAGAAACAGTGTTAATGAAAAATGACTTTCTCTCCTCTTCACAAGAAATTATTTGTTCAATGGTAAGTAATAAAAAGCCCATAACAGAATTAGTTAATTTCCTTCAGAGTGGTGTGCAATACAGACAGAAATGATAAATATGTACTTGGAATAGTCATCCCCTTGAACAAACTAAGGATACAAAATAAAACAGAAAACAAGCCCCAGATTGTTTTAGGAGCCCCTTAACGGTGCAATCCTATTCTCAAGTTTGGGTGCTCATCATCTTGCATTGCTTATGTCTCTTCTTCATTTCTGCATCACATGGGGGTTGACTAGATGACCCTAGTCCAACTCTACAATCCTACAATACTATGATTTGTGTGATAGACTTACCCTTTGAAGAATATATTTTTAACATGCAATTTTCTTAATGTTTCATTGATTTTTGCTGTACTATTTCAACTTTTCTCGTGGTTGATTATTTTGGGGTGCACCCTTTTTCAGGCAACAGGTTTCCACCTACCTCTCTGTTGGGAGTTAAAGTGCCTTCATCATTTTGCTCTTCAAGTGAAGATGTTCTACTCCTGGAAGTTGATGGTGAAGATGCAGAGGATCCCTGCAAAAGAAGTAACAGAAATGAAGAACTGCTAGCCCCTACGCACAAGCAATCTGACCATATGCAGTGTTACATGCACCCATTAGCTGGGGTACCTGCCACCAAGTTGCAGTAACAAGGATTTCAATATTGTAGGCCATAACCCTGAAACTGGGAAAAATAATGCTAAACAGATCAAACTAACTGATTAGCAATTCCATTCAAGAGCAACACAGCAAGTAACAATCTAGATGTATGAGCTGGTCACCATCCATCCTGTCAAATAATGCCTATGTACCCGCCTATGCTTTAAATTTTCGTTGGAAGCCTTTCTTCAGATGCCCATGGCTTCGGAGGCAAAGTGAATGGCAATCAGGGACAGGGCCTTCTTGGATTCAGCTTCTGGAATTCTCTCCCCATTATGTAATTTTGGCACCAAGAAAAATACTCTCTCTTTTCTAAAACCTTTCAAAAACCAGTTAATGCTATTATCTCCTGCATAATCTGCCATCATTATCTCCTGCAGCTACACTGTTTTATTCTATATTGTTCTGCTTGTGTTTTTTCTTTTTATTCAGTCACCACAAGAGGACTGCTAAAACATGGGGCAGAAATTTACTAAAGAAACACAACATGCAGCAGAATAAAGTGGTTATGCGTTATGCTAGTAGAACTGACTGTACCAGTTCAGACAGCAAGTGGTGATCACATTTTAAATACAACCCTACAGGAAAAAACTCCCTACAAATCAGTACAGTAGCAAAAAGGCCAACACAAATCTCTTCCCGATGAGCTAATCTTCAAGATTGTGGATGAGATTAATCTTTAAGATGCATTCAAAAATAGTATTCTCCACCAGAAACTGATGCAATTCTGTAACCCAGTCTCCCATCTCAGCACTTTAAACACCTCATTATTCTGCATATATAGACCATGTAGTATGCTGCTTAATGTTGCAATGAAAGTTCAATGAACACAAAAACCTAATTAGTAACACTCCGTACCAAGTTTAGATGTACAGTACAAGAAAGGCCCACCAACTACAACTCACCAGTGTTCAAATTACAGAAGGGGAGATTTCCTCACCTTTTGGTTACAACCTCTTAACTACTTGAAGGGGGGTTGTGATTTGATGAGAATTCAGGAGTGTCAGGAGCTGAAGCTTGTAGAGTTCAGAGTCCTCTCCCTCCCTCCAACCCCTCACAATAAAGTGATAACTGAGAATTATAGATCACTTGGGGGAAATGCTCATGTAACCATCCAATACCAACAGCCCCTTGAGTTCATCTTATTCTGCAATTCTATAGAGAAAAGGTGACATAATGGAAGACGGTACACTATAAGCACACCCATATTTACTCTTTTATGTCTTTGAACTTAGTCATGTGAAAAGCTAAACATGCCAATCTGCTCCACAAAATCAGTTACAGTTCTGCATATCCTGCTCCACCTTTGCCAGATTCCCAGAAGGGATTGCAGCAACCGGCTCCGCCTCTTTCAAGCACTCACTGCTCCTGCCACCAGAGATTATATCAAAAGACATCCTCCGCAATTGTCTATGTAAAAAGAAATTTCTGTGCATTGGGTGTTCTGTCTTTGAAGGGCTTGGGGCTGGAACGAACTCTTTGTACAGCAAAGAGCTAACAGAATGAAATATAGTGCTACTAGCAGGCTCTGATTTTTAAAATGAAAAAAAGAATAAGGTGCAGACAGTGGATGTGCTGCATTTGGTCTTTTAAGGCATGGACTAGGCACAATTATAATTGTAGCCAACAGGGCTTTATATACAGTTGAGGGAATTGGATATGTTTAGCCAGGTGAAGAGAAGATTGACAGGAGACTGAATAAGGTAAAGGTAAAGGTACCCCTGCCCATACGGGCCAGTCTTGACAGACTCTGGGGTTGCGCGCTCATCTCACTCCCGGCAGACACTTCCGGGTCACGTGGCCAGCGTGACGAAGCTGCTCTGGCGAGCCACCGCCGCACATGGAAACGCCGTTTACCTTCCCGCTAGTAAGCGGTCCCTATTTATCTACTTGCACCCGGGGGTGCTTTTGAACTGCTAGGTTGGCAGGCGCTGGGAACGAGCAATGGGAGCACACCCCGCCGCGGGGATTCGAACCGCCGACCATGCGATCGGCAAGTCCTAGGCGCTGAGGTTTAACCCACAGCACCACCCACATCCCTACAAGAGGCTGAATAGCCATCTTCAACTAGGGCTGTCACACAGAGGATGGAAAAAGCTTGTCTTATCCTGCTCTGGAGGCTAGGACCTGAACTAATTATGTCGTTACAAGAAGGGAAATTCCAACTCTACATCAGGAAGAACTTTCTGACAGTAAGAGCTGTTTGACAGTGGAACAGACTCCCACCAGAGGTGGTAGACTCTCCTTCCTTAGAGGTTTTTAAGCAGCAGTTGGCTGGCCAACTATCATGTATGATCTAGTCGAGATTCCTGCATTGCAGGGGGTTAGACTAGATGACCCTCGGGGTCCCTTCCAACTTTACAATTCTGATTCTCTCTCTCTCTCTCTCTCTCACACACACACACACACATGTCTATACAGATGTTATATGTATATGAATTTGTGTGTGTGTGTGTGTGTGTGTGTGTGTGTAGGTCTGTGAGTGTGCATATTTGTGTATGTGTGTGTGTGTGTGTGTGTGTGTATATATATACACACATACACCCACACCCACAAATACCCACACACAGAAAGACAGACACGCCCCTTGCTACCTGTTAAAGAACCTTTTAATGAGGGTGAAAGAAGAGAGCGCAAAATATGGTCTGAAGCTCAACATCAAAAAAACGAAGATCATGGCCACTGGGCCCATCACCTCCTGGCAAATAGAAGGGGAAGAAATGGAGGCAGTGAGAGATTTTACTTTCTTGGGCTCCATGATCACTGCAGATGGTGACAGCAGTCACAAAATTAAAAGACGCCTGCTTCTTGGGAGAAAAGCAATGACAAACCTAGACAGCATCTTAAAAAGCAGATACATCACATTGCCGACAAAGGTCTGTATGCTTAAAACTATGGTATGGAAGTGAGAGCTGGACCATAAAGAAGGCTGATGGCCGAAGAATTGATGCTTTTGAATTATGGTGCTGGAGGAGACTCTTGAGAGTCCCATGGACTGCAAGAAGATCAAACCTCTCCATTCTGAAGGAAATCAGCCCCGAGTGCTCACTGGAAGGACAGATCGTGAAGCTGAGGCTCCAATACTTTGGCCACCTCATGAGAAGAGAAGACTCCCTGGAAAAGACCCTGATGTTGGGGAAAGATGGAGGGCACAAGGAGAAGGGACGACAGAGGACGAGATGGCTGGACAGTGTTCTCGAAGGCTACCAGCATGAGTCTGACCAAACTGCGGGAGGCAGTGGAAGACAGAAGTGCCTGGCGTGCTCTGGTCCATGGGGTCACGAAGAGTCGGACACGACTAAACGACTAAACAACAACAATCCTGAGTAGAGGCTTTTAATCTCAAGGCCGTGGGTTCGAGCCCCCCGTTGGGCATGATGATCCCTGCATCGCAGGGAGTTGGACTAGATGACCCTCGGGGTCCCTTCCAACGCTTTTAAATCCTTACACCCTACCCCCAGTGTCAGAGACGTTGTCAGCTCGGGGTGGGTGACGGAGGCTGCTGTCCTGTGTTATGCCGCACCTGCGTGGAAGGAAGCGAGGTGGGCGCAGGATCAGGCCGCAGCGGTGAGAGACAGCCCTCCTCCTCGCGCACACAAACAAACAAACAAGTCGCGGCCCCCGCCTCCCTCAGGAGCCTCAAAGGCAGCGGAGGTCGGGAGCGGGCGGGGAGCGCGCTCCCGCTTGACGTCAGGGCCACGCAGCGGGGGGGGGGGGTGAGAGACCCTCGCAGGGAATGAGGCCGCCCTCCTCTCCGCCGCCGCCGCCGCCGCCTCACCTGGGCCAGGCCGGGGCCTCGGCCGCCGGGACTCCGCGTCGTCGCGGCCGCCGGCGCCAGCTGCTCCTCGCTGATCTTCTGCTTCAGCTTCTTGAACATGGCAGCGCGGGAAGAGGAGCTCTCGGCCGGGCTGAGGCGAAAGGCGAGGGCGCTCGGCCTCCTCCAGGGCCCAGGTGGGGTCGGCCAAGGCCGGCAACGTCTTTCCCCCTCAGGTTTACCTCACGGCCGCTGCTCCTCTCCCCTCCCCCCTGCTCAAGGCGGCGCGAGGAGGAGGAGGAGGGGCGTAATGGCCGCTGACGCCGCTTTCGCTGACCCGGCCGCCCGCCCCTTCGCTCTGGGCTCCCTCCTCGCTCCGGCGGCAGGTGAGTAAGCAGGGCCAGCACGCATGCGCGGCCGACGTGGTTCCGAAAGCGTAACGGGGAGGTGGAGGGTGGAAAGGGATGGAGTGGCTACGGCGAAGGGCGAGGCCCAAATTTCCTCCGGGACGACGTGACAGTTCGATTCGCCTCGGCCGCCGAAAGGTTTGGCAGCTCGGAAGCGTAATTCCAGCAGGTGGAATGGGGCCTGATCCGGACTTTCCCTTACGCCCGCTTTCTTTCGCATGATGCATGGGGAGGGATGCTCAGAGCCTGACATATTGCAGGACAAAGCGATTGTGAACAGTGGCACATGGCTTGGGAAGAGAAAGGAGTTTGATACGGAATAGTGAGAATGCATTTGGTGTGGGGTGTTTGGGAGACCGGCAGCCAAACCTAACAAACGCATATTCTTGCTGGTTAGCCTGAGAAAGGGGCTAAGTCCATGTGTAGGGAAGTTGTTCATGTTTGGTGCTTTCCTGTGTTTGATGCTGGAAGCTTTCCAGAGTGGCAGAGGCAACCCAGTCAGATGGGCGGCATACAAATAAATACTTACTATTATTATTATATCAGACCATAGGCAATGCAATTGGTAGAGAGGGATCTAAGGTAAGGTAAAGGGACCTCTGACTGTTAGGTCCAGTTGCGAATGACTCTGGGGTTGCGGCACTCATCTCCCTTTACTGGCCGAGGGAGCCGGCATTTGTCCGCAGACACTTTTTCCAGCTCATGTGGCCAGCA